GTGTGTCCATTTTGATATTTTTGTCAGCATGAAAGGTTTGTGTGAGCTAGTTCAGACTGCATGAGAAAGAGAGGTCAGCTTGCTAGTGCTGTTCAGAAAGTGACTGAAAGACCAGGCTAAAAAAAATTTATGTGGGAAATGGAAAAAAATTACTCCACTTGTCATCAAAACTGTGTCTGAGAGCTGAGCTGTCAGCAGTAGGAAACAGTCTTAGCCGAGTTTAAACAGTTCTGTTACCCTACCTTCATATTGTGCAAAAAGTTAATTTTAAATAAAGGAAAATTCCCCATTTGTTTAATTTCAGAAGCTCCAAGGTAGCTGTCATCCTAATTGGGCAGGGCTCCAGAAAGTGAGAAAGTTCGGGATATGTAAGAACTGGAGTTACAACAGGAGGGATATAAGAAGAGCAGGGGGGAAACTAACAAAAAAAAACCCCGAAGAAACAAAACTGAACCAAGCAAGCAAAAGTAATAAAACTAAAACTACTAATAAAAAACGTGTATTTTTTCCACAATGAAGTTTAGTAAGATTCTTCTAAAGGAAGTTACGTAGTACATTTCCTATCAAAGAATTTTAAAAAGAAAAATCCTGCAAAATAATTTTAAATTTTTTCTGATTAATTTCTAAACTAAATGAAATTATTCCAATTTCAATAGCCTTTAACCAGTCCTTCTTTCAATTCTCCTGTAATTTGGATTTTGCTGTAAATTCTTCTCACAGAGGAATTAGTATTTTTAAAATGTTCTGATTAGACTGAGATTTGAAGTTTTCACAGTGAAATATTTATTCTTTTATGAATATTTGATAAATTACTTCATGCTTTTAGTTTTATTAGTAAAAAAGTTTGAACTGTATTTAAAGTAGATTATGTAGCAGAAAGTTTCCATTTTAAAACATGATCTTTCAATAAGAAAATTATCTAAATATAATCTACTTGTAGAATTAGTGAATAATCGATGGAGTTACAAGCTGTGGAAGGATCCAGCTCACAGTCCACATTCATAATAGTTAAATTGAAAATGCAAATGGATAACTGAGTTATAACATCACAGATTTTCTGAAAATAGATTTTAACTCTACGGAAGAAAAGCAGTGCACAAATGGATATGTGATTGTAATGAAGGGAAAAAGAAGAAAAAAAGGAATTTTAAAAACATAACTGTAGAAGCAAGGCTTGAGCTTTTTACCTTTAAAATAATAAAAGTGAGAGCTAGACAGAAATACAGAGATGCAGTTGTTAAATGGGGCAATCATATTCAGCCATGCTTAAACCTTCCTGTGCAAGGTTGGGTTATTGTGCTGGGCTGTGCAGTTCGATGGTCTACGATGTGGCACAAGTTCTGTTCATCCACCCTTGTAAAGGTGGGACAGAAGAGGGTGGAATTTGTCTCTTTAGATGCTGTTCCTTAATCTGCATCTGAGCTTAGGCTAACCTTTGAAAAGATGTAACTTCAAACCTGGGAACAAAAATTGCTTTGATGGGGAAGGCCCAGGGTTCTCACACAGCCATATTTTTGATACAAACCTGCTTCAATGTGGTAGGGTTGTCCACAGGTTGGAGTTAAAGCCCACTGAGAACTGGGAGACTGTTTTTGAAATGGGATGTTTTATAGACTTTTCCAGTAAGCCTCTGAAATGATCCACTAAGCCTGTGCAAATACCGACTTTCAAAAACTTTAAGCATAGCCAAAGCAGAAAAAAAGACAAATTCACCTTGCCAGGTTTTGAGTTTTTGCTCAGGAGCTGGCAATCATGAAAACCTTCTTCAAACAGTCAAGAGATAATTAACACATCATCTTACCAAGTAGTCTGTTTCCTTTCAAAATTCATCTTTTTATACAATTTAGCATTTTACATAATCACTCTAAAAAGAAGTCTGAGACAATGCAGGAGGGGGAAAACTAAAGCTCAAACAGTTATGTACCTGGCAGAGAAACAAAATATGTAAAAAAATGTTGTACAGTGTAGTCTTTTAGGCAGCTTTAACAATAGACTTTATTCTGTCCAAATTGAAACACATTGCATTTACTGCAAAACATTCTTTAATAAATAGCTGCATAAACTTAGTAGTATTAATTGGTCTTTCTAAGATCTCCCGTTTAAACTTTTTTAGTGCATGAAAGCACATACTGAACCTGAACCTGCTTCTGATTAAGTCAGTGAAAGCAGGACTCTGATAAACATTTGGTTTGACAAAATGAATTCAAGATGTTGGAATTATTTCATCCATTTTACTAGGCATTTTTCCTGAATCCTCCATTCACTGAAAGGTAAGATTTTAGTAAGTCTGTTACATCTTCCTGATAATTTTTTTAGGCTAAAGGTAAACTAAATGCATCCAGAAAGGTGAATTGAATGACATATGTTGCACAGAAGGTAATGTGCACTTCCATAAGTAAATCACATAGGGATATACTAAAGTAATCCCTGTACTTGTTCTCACAGGATGGAGCACACAGGATAAGTAGAATATACACATGGTTCTGTGAAACTTTTTATTGGTTTGGATATTCTTTTTATTCTTAATAGATTGCCAGTAAGTGCAAGATGTATTTTACTCATACAGAGAAAATGTCTGTGAATGCACTACTTTTAAAATAGTTTTAGTTAATTTTACTTGCCGTGTCTGTGGGCTGGGATGCCATTTGTTATAGAAAAAAAAAAAAAGGGTGATAAGAATACTGTTCTGCACAGAAGGTTTCATAGTGGCTGTGAACAAAAACTATTCCTTTTACAAAGTTTGGTGGTTTATATTCTTTGCCAAGCAAATGAGAGTCACTGGAGTTAGTCTTCTGGTTAAGAAAGTCTGATTTGATTAAGAAAATGTTATTCATTTGAGTGTGAAAAGTGCTTAAGATAGATATGTCTTAAATGCACTATATACAGTAATTTTGCATATCAAATATTACTAAAGTATTTGCATGATATTATGGTGATGATAGCTGCCTGTCTGAAAAGAAATTATTATAATTTTTTCATACTGACCAAGAAAAAAATCAGATGTGAACTTTCTAAGCTGAAACTGCTCATGAGGTATCTGTGAGCTGATCATATATCAGTAGGAAATTATGGCATTTAAAACTGCTAAATAAACAGGTGGGGAGCATTACACTGTATATGCAATGAAACATGCATTGTTTATTTCATTTAGCATTCTTCTGCGCCCTTAAATACATACGAGATGGAAACTCACAGACTTCTTTTAACCTTTAGCTGCTATCCTTGTACCAAAACTACTAAACAAAAATTGACAGACTTGTAAACAACTCGAGTTCATTTTATTTCATCTAACACTGATCACATTTCCAGTAGACAATAAATATAATTCACTGCTGACAGATGTGTAGAAACGTGTATACAACTAGATGAAGAAATTGGGTACAACGCAGTTCAAATCTCAGTTTATTCCTTTGCATCTCCTTGAATATGGCTGTAAAATTCTTACCTGCTGATGCATGGCCTCCAGCAAGATCAGTTTTCCCCTGCTTATCCAGACTGGTCCTGGGGAGGCTATCCTGCCAGCGGCGTATCAGTGCAACTTATGGTAGGCATAGGCATTTACTTGAGTAAATGAGATTCTTTACTTCATGTACCTTTGGGTAAGACCTTTGTTCATTTTCCCAGTTGAGATGAAGTATTTCCTACATTTTTTTGAGCACATACAGTACAAGAAGGCTCTGAATCTATATCTTGGGTTAAATGAATGCAATGTTAGGGAGCCTAAAGCATCCAGGAGATCAGCAGAATTAGGAGCACAAAATGGGAGATAATTTCATTCTCTGGAGGGAAGAAATGTAGATTCAGATAGCAGACTCATATTTGATGGAAAGGTAGTGGGGTTTTGTTTGGATTTTTTTTTCCCACAGAGGAGAATGTGTGTGAGCACAGAATATAGGCAATTTCAAAGTGAAACTTGGAATAAATACTGAAGATGCTGGGTGTCGCCTTAACAATTTGCCACTGGTTGTCCTGGTCAGAATATGAATATACAGGAGCCATTGTTCTTACTGAACTATCCCAACTGTTCATCTCTTTTCTAGCCATCTCAGCCTTGTACAATGTAATTTGTAATTTTTACAGCTCTGTAAGACAATCTTTCTCTTGGCCTTTGCAGTATACATATGGTAAATGGTTCTCCTGTTGCAGATGGGCCGGCAATTTTGCTTATATATAGCAAAAACATTTCTTTAGGGGAAAAAATATGTCTAATTAATTTATAAATGAAGCAAGGAATAGGTGAACATACGCTGCAAATCGGATTGCAGTTACTGGTCTGACAAGAAATGTTCGTTGTCTGCTTTTTCTGCTTTGTCTGCAAAAGGCGGATCTGTTGTCACTGCATTAAAACATTCTACAGACTCCCAGTGTAACTGTGATACTGGAATCCATTGCAGTCTAATCCACTTGAAATTTTGCAAGCTTCCTAGAAATTACTCAGAACAAAACAAGAATCAAGTGATCTAATAAGAATATACACATTTGTAAGAGTGAAGAATCTTCCAGAGGTACATGAAAGTTCTGTTCATTCGCTTGTATGGCCTGTACCTATGATTTAGTATGGATGCAGTGACTGCTGGTGATTGGAAAACAGCAGAAGGCAGAAGTTCCTGTTTTGACTTTCTGTAATGACTGACTGAATTTCTCTATTTTCTTCTAAGACGTACCTATTACCTGAACTTGTCCATTTATCTCTCTATCTGTCCATCCATATATATGCATTACCTCCTGCACATTTTTTATAAGCTCTTTGAGCAGTTTCATAAGCCTGTGTCACTTAATAATACCTAATGGAAAAGTGAAAAATACTGGCATTGTTGCTGTTCATATAAAATTATTAGCTACTTTCCTAGGTTTGATAAAAAAGTAAAGAAGGTATCAAAGGAACCTGTATTAATTCATTATTCTGACTGCTTTAAAAAGCAAGTTATTAAAGAAAAAGTAGATAATAGTAATACTATAGTAATACTAGTCCATAACACTGTCACCTTCTTTTTTAACAGGTCTATGGAAATGCAGGATCTAGCCAGTCCTCATAATCTTGTTGGAAGCAGTGATGCACCAGGTAGCTCCAAACTGGATAAGTCTAGTCTTAGTAGCACATCAGTTACAACAAATGGAACAGGAGGTAAGTATAAGACACTGCTGGCACATAGAAAGTTTTGGCTAGTTTTTAGTCATATGCACTTTTTAGCACAATTTCAAGAATGACCATATACCCATTTATAAATACCCAGCAAGAATTATGAAAAAATGGCAGTCATACAAGTATAAATCTCTAATTCCAACATCACTTCTTTGGTTTGCATCAATTAAAGTAAGAGGCTGATCTGAAACAAGTTGCAAAGGTGAAACAAGGAAAGATTTGGAATGGTTGGTTTGAACGCAGTGTTAAAGGTTTGCTTACACCTGTTGGTAACTTGAAATAAATTGCTTTTTCTGTGTCATATTTCATTGATGAGTAATTATTTACTCTTACACCCTGAACTGCACAGGTAGTTAGATTAAATTAAAATCAGTGTCAAAAGTACATCAAAATTAGGCTTAGGTAATTTCTTTTCATGATGAATTCCATTTCTTGGGAGGTAATGGAAGTTTGTCATAAAAAGATTGTTACATTTTCCTCAGAAGTAGCTGGTTATTACTGCTATAGGTGTTACTGTAGGGACAGCATTATCATGCAGCTACAACACAGATGTTCCAATGCTTTCAGATAATCAGTTATGCCACAGCTGAATTGGAGCAGCGGGAGGCAGAGTAGCACATTCTGAGGTGCAGTCCATGAAAGTGACACCATGGATATGAGCCAATCTAGAGTTTCAGCCTTCTTTTTTAGAGTTTATACATTGCTGTCTATTTTAACAATTTGCACTAAGAATTTTTTTTTTTTAGTTTGTTCTTTCTGACCACAATGTAGAGCATTTTATTCACTCATCCCTATTTAAGAAAAAGTCTGTCAGTGTGAGTAAAAAGTATATGTGCTTGTGAGGATAACAGAGCTCTACAAAGAAGGACCGAACCACATTTTTAAATAGAATCCTTATTCCAGCAAAAAAGAGAAGAGAAAACTTCAGGCATACCATTAAAGAACTCTAATAACTAGATGCCTCTTTATTATACATGCATAAATAAAGCAGTTAAAATAATACCCATAAAAACAATACAGTGCAGTTAAAAGACTTAAGGCACTTAGTTGCCTTGAGGACTTTTCAGGTACACTGAACAGACATTGGGAGAATGAACTGTTATACCATTCCTGTTCTCAGGAGACAACATGACTGTGTTAAACACTGCAGACTGGTTGCTGAGTTGCAGTACTCCCTCCTCTGCAACAAGTATGAGAGACCCTGGTACAGTGCATGCGTGTGGTAGTGTGTGGTGGTGTGTCTCCCTGACTGCTGTGTGACATCTCTCTTGGTTTGCTCTGTTCTTTTGTTATGCACTTTGAACATTCCCATAGGGGTTTTGTTCTCACTCCTATTTTTCCTTCCCCTTCTTAAAGGCTTTTCTGACTGCCAGAAAACTGGTAGGAAGTTGCAATAAGTAGTTATCTTACAATGCTTTGAAAGTAATTTGATGAGCAAGGAGAACTTAATCGACATATAATTAGCTTAACTGTCTACATGCTCTGAGAGACTGGGATTGTCTCATGGTGTTCAGCATTGCTGGGAATTGCCAGTAGTCATCATTAGTGCAAGTCAGACCGATGGAATTTTCACAGAATGCCTCTTTACTTTTCTTTTGTTTTTAAGTACAGCATTGCATGATTACCTGAGCACAAATAAAGGTTGACGTTATTGTTGCTATTCTACCACAATTTTAATTATTCATCAAAGCTTGTGTCTAGTTTGCTAACACGTGTAGCCTGCAACTTTACAAACATTTGGCCAGATTTTCCAAGCTGCTGTTGTCATTTACGAGTTTACTGACATGTATTAGTAATTGTCATGAGTTGTAATGATTAATAATAATTCTGTATGTGACACTGTTGCAGTACATGCAGGATTAATCATATGTGTCAATGTGCATCACCATGTTTCTCAACAAGTCATTACAAGGGTGCTTAAGTTGTGCAGGTTTGGACTAAAGTTAGGAAGATCTCAAAAACTTTCCTTTTAAAAAACCTCTCGGAATTAGCTTGCCTTTTGTAAAACACATCCACAGAAAATTTAACAAAAAAGAAAATTACTTGAGCGCAAAAGATCATTTGCACTGGAATAACTCATTCCACGTGAATATTACTACTCAATTGCAAGAGTTTAAGTTTAAGGAAGGACTGAGCTAACTTAGTCTGTCACCTCAGTTAACTGTTCAGCATGTTCAGATAAATGTGGAAAGTAATAATTTACATACTAATATTTTAATCAGACTTGTTTGCTATCACAGCTGTTGCACTTGCTTGTCCTGCTTCATGCATAGTAGTAGCACCTCTTGTCCCTAAAACACTCTGTTCATGTTCAGTCCTTAACATAGAGGGATTCTTTGGGTTAAAAAAGAGGTCATCAGAGTAGTAGTCATTTTGGTCTGCTAAGTCCTTTCTTCAGGTAAAGACCGTATATTGTAGAAGCTGTTGCCTGCTGAGAGCTGTATTCTGAGTTAGCCTTAGAACAGTGAAGTTTGGACGAGATTCCTGGAGGTCAGTTGGGCCAAACGCTGGTCAGAGCAGGGCCAACTTGGCTGTTAGATCGTGTTGCTCAAGGCAGTGTCTAGCTGAGTGCTGAATGTCTCCAAGTAGAAAGGTACTACAGCCTATCTAGGCACCTGTCCCATGGCTTGTTTATGCTCATGGCAAAGAATTTTCCTCCTGCTTCTAATTGGACTTTTCCCTTAGTACAGCTTGTGTCTGTTTCCACCTGTTGATTCCCGGGGCACCTTTTGAGATGAGTGTGCCTTTGTTCTTTGTCATCTTTGAACCTTCCCAATAGCTGCAGGCAGCAATTAGCTCTCACCTCAGTCCCCTCTTCCTAGGACAGAAAAAGCCCAGCTTCTTCTGTCTCCTTGTACATCATATGCCCCTGCACCTGATGATGGTGGTAGCTCTACCCTATTGGCATGTTGTCATGGTTTTAGCCCAGCTGGCAACTAAGCCCCACAGAGCCACTTGCTCTATCCCAGCTGAAAACAGGACACATGCAGTCTTCCCTGTTAGCAGCACTCTTTCCAGTTAGAGATTGCTTTTCATTTTATTTTTACAGTTTCAATACGGGGGGGGGGGGGGGAAGAAAAAAAGAAAAAAAAAAAGTCCAAACTAAAACTATTCAGCACTTTAAAAATAGAATAGTAAATGTATAGTCTTTAAAGTATTCATCCAAAATGCTGGTTCAAACTTGGAGTCTCTGCATTATGTTAACATAGCAGTATCAGAACCCAGCTTTATCTCATGTGGGAAACTGAGGGATGATTCTGTGGTTTTAATTGGTGTCAGATTTTATTTTGATTTCAGCTTTAAATATTCCTGTTTTTTTGAACTGATGTTAGAATTATTTTTTTTTCTAAGTTGGCTTTGTGTTTTTTTCTTTCTTAGTGTAATGACATACAACATAAAAAAATAGGTAATAGTCAAAATCTTTAGCTACACTGAGGAAACACCTTGATGAATTCCTTAATGTCATAAAATCTGAATGCAGCAAAGTAGAACTCTTTAAAATCAAGCACGTATAAAAGTACTTTCTACATGTATTTTTCAACAAAACACAGTGCCAATATAATGTTTTTTCTCAAGTTAAGTACAGGAGAGAGTCACTTTTTTTTTTGATTCTTTGCTGCTTGACAGGAACAGAAAATAGATGGTGCCTCTTGGTGCTGATGGAAGTGCACTGCAGCTGGCATTAACCAGAACTAGACACAATTCTAAAGTAAACGTTTAAATTAATTACTGAAGTTTTTGTTAAATATAACAGTTAAGTACACACTATCTTTCTAGATGCAATACTCAACATAGGTTTGTAGCTTGGTATGGGCAATAGTGCAATACCATCTTGAATAGAAAGAGATAAAGGTACTAAAAAGTACTCTTTTTCATGTGGGTAGGTGTCTACACTTTGCAGAAGTACATGGAGGCATCCGTATGTAGTAATCAGAAAATAAATTTAATTTCATGCTTCAGGCAACCATACATGTTCCATATGACTGAGAGGTTCAATGGACACAATCATTTTGTGACAAATGACACTTAAGCTTTTTCTTGATTTGTGTTTAATTGATCTGATGAAAATAAAATCACATCTTTTTCATATAAATATAGAAATGGGAATGATTGATTACTCTTATGAATGACTTTGTTCATTTTGGGTAATTTTTGTCACAGTTTTTTTTTTTTTTTTTTTAATGAGAATATAATAGCTAGCAGAATGAGAAGGAGTGCACAACAGCTTGAAAAAATGTGGCTATAATTCTTCCCTGATGATGCCATATTGAGTTAATATTCTGCTGCTGCAGGGAGACTATATGGGTGTGGTAGTTTTACTAAAGAGAAACAGAAGTTTACGTTCAAAAGACAAACATTCAAAAATTTTTTAAAGATACAGCTTAAGCAAGTAGATGCTACTTAGTATGATTGGCACAAGGGTACAGGCAATGTGGCAGGGCACTCTCCCTGTCACACGGACAGCTATAACCCAATTCCTCTGCTTTATCTAAACAGGTGACCCTTTGAATTCAGTGTAGGTCAGTTGTACAGTTGTAGACATCAGTAGCATCCCATATGACTTACTGAAGTAAGATCCATTAAGCAGTGGGACTGGAAATGGGATGTGATTTGGTAGGAGAGGTAACTCACAGGGGGCTCATCACAGCAGTTGTATTGGTAGCTGTGCAGTTCGCAATGAACAGCTCAGTGTGGTCACAGACTCAGGGAATAATAGCAGAATGGATCTGCGGGTTCTGGACCTTCTTCCCATGAGAAAACAAAATCCTTTATTTAACCCATCCACTGCCTTTTCCTCTACAGACTGTGAGGGATAGTGAACTTGAGGGCAGCTCAGGATGTTCTTGGACTGAATGAACCTCTGGAAGCACTCCTCTGTCTCAACTAAACACAAAGGGAGATTAGCAGGCACCTTTTATATGCCTAAGTTAGGTGACTTGAATCGGAACCATAGTTTTTAAATATTACCGCCAGCTCAGAACATGAAATTCTCCCCTTTCCCATACTGCTGCCAGTGAAGTCAAACATGGATGCAGTGATGTTGACAGATGAGAGCTTTGGTCAGCTTAGCTGATGCCCCTCAGAGGCATCAGGTAACCAGCTGGCAGAAAACGCCTTTCCTTGGCATGTGTTAGACCTGCTGAGGGGGCTCTGCCAAGCCCAGCTGTCACAGCAAAGGCTTCTTCACAAATCCCAGGCTGTGTCCTCGGAATTTCAATACCTGGCATACAACTGTGGTAGAGGCCTGTGCAAGTCCTCAGTACCGCTTCTCGCTGTGCCCCAGGGCACCTACCAGTCCTGTGATACCTGTAAGCATGTTGCTGATATATATGTGATGAATGTTCATGCCCAACCCTAACTGACCTTCACAAGGAAATTATGATAACACATTGAGGGTTTCCGTATTTGTCAGTCAGACAGCTATTAAAAGCTGCACTTTATTCTGTACTGCTGTTTCTTACCATATCAATTAGAAGGGTGGTTCCCAAACTCCATTACAAAAGTCCATGTCAAATGTTCTCTCCAGGTTACATACTAACTATAAAATCTGTATTGCCTCTGTGGTGCTTTCAGTTATAGCTTGGATGTTAGGACTGCATGATGATCTGTAAGAAGTAATTTGAGTTCAGAGTGGACCCAAATGTTTGGTAACCTCTGAATTAGAAGCTGACTTGTTGTGGCTGCCTTTTGTGTCCTACTCTAGTTCTTTGGCTTTTTTTTCTGTCAAACTTCTCTCTTCATTTATGGAAAATTGCTTGCTGGTAACCTAGCTCAAAAAGGCCCCCACAGACTCTGTAAAAGGGGAAGGGGAAAGGCAGCATGCTGGCACTGTGAAAGTAATTTGCTTCTATATGAGCATGAAACCATATTATAATTGTTTTACTTGTCAGGCAAAACTATTTTTATGTGCTACATCCCTTGACAGCTAATGTTTCCTTCCTCTCTGCTACTCTTAGGGAACTGTTAGAATCAATTAAATGAAGGTTGAAATCTCCCCAGAAGATACTCCAATTGCTAAAACCAATAGCTAGACAAATGCCCAGATAAAAAGCTATGTAGATGCATGTCCATTCCAGACAGAGCTAGTGTAGATTGTCTCAATACGGTGACGGAGCAAAGGCTGAAGCTGTTGCACGCATGCTTGTTCTAGCTGGACTGCCACTAGTGCGACTGGCATGAGGACTCCAGTACAAATTGAGAAGTAAAATCTCATGTCTACTTATTCTTCTATGTAGTGTCTCTTCTTGCAGTCAAAACAGAACCCATGAACAACAGTGAAACAACAACAACAACTGGAGATGGATCGCTTGACACTTTTACTGGGTCAGGTAAAGCCATAATAAGATCACGTTTTTTTAGATGCATATTATTGTAGCATTTAATAACATCCACTAATGAACATTTCGCTGCATGGAAGCAATTTTTAAAAAGCTACAATCAAGTAACATTTCAGTACCTAATAATAATAAAAATAATAATAACTTTTTCATTTTTGTAAGTGCAACTCTGCAATTTACATGAGATGGGATCTTAAAGAAGCCTTCATGATTCCTAAGATGATTGTTGTGTGCAAAAATCTTATTGTAATACTGTTATTATAGTACTGTAGAGTTTTTTCTCAGGGTGAGTCGTATATGATCTTAGGAAGAAAAGTGGATTGTATTTGTAACAGCCACGCAGATTTGTAAAATTTAAAATCTTAAGGGTTATATCTCAGTGCTAATGGTTTTACTTCTATGAGCAGTGTGTTAGTTTAAATGCTGACCAGGTTACCGTAAGTTACTTTCTTTCCATTGCAGCGAGCTACTTTCTTTCCATGAAAATAAAGTTTATATTTTAATTTAAATAATAATAAGTTTCAATTACTTCTTAAAAAAAATCAAACAAACAGCAGTTTTTAAGTAGATCCCTATAAATTATTAAAATGTGATGAACTGTGGAAAAGTACAGATAATCTGCCTTCTAATAATTAAGTTGAATCCTGCTAATTATAATATTAACAAGGAGAGGAGGGAGAGTAAATTTTACGTCCGAAAATACCAGTTCAGTAATGGCTTGACTGAAATGTCACGGAAGCCAGAAATCACAGCTCACACGGATGCTTTTATTACTTTGGTAGACTTAGGTAGTCAAACCATATATAAAATATTTTCGAAATCACAATGTTTCTGTGTAATTAAATTTGTTTTAAAATGAGTGTATGTTTCTGGAATTTCTTGTAAACATACTCCAAAGCTGATTATTCAGAAAAATATTTATTACAAATTTAATGCCTGAAGAAAAGGTTGTTTGTGAGATTTAAAGCAAGCATATACTATTTCTGATTGAAAAAAAAAAAGAAAACATTGTCTCCATTATCATTATACTGAAAGGAACCACATCAACCACAACAAGTTCCATGAAATATGAAATAATCTTGGCTAAAATCTAGTTTTTCTTGTTCACTCTGTTGTTACTCAATGCTAGTATTTTATTAGTAATGATAAGAGATTATAAAACAACCAACCCCATGTATGATTTTGTCATTGTCAGTGAAATTTTATCAGCTTCTGCTGATAAGGCAGCTGAGTTATATTCCATGTGTAAAACATGGCTAAGGCAACACTGGGGTGCTAAAAATTGCAGCCTCCAGTTCAGGTTTAGATAGTTAAGTAACAGCCTGATTTCCCCAGGTGCCACTCACCCATCAGCTTCCACTGACTTCAAAAGAAGTGCTGAGATCTTTACACTTTGGATATTTGGAAAGTGCCTCCCCCCCACCCCCCCATCCCCACCCCCCCCCAAAAAAAAAAAAAAAAAAAAAAAAAAAAAAAAAAAAAAAAAAAAAAAAAAACAAACAAGGCAGGAATTTGAGCCTTGCACAGTTCTATTTTGCCTGGTGGCCACCTGCATACTCAAAAGAAATATGAACCTGATTCTCAATTTAGTCCACAAGCTCAAGCATTAAATGAGTACAGTCATTCACAGTGGGAAATCGATAGTCTGCCTGTCTGGGTGACGTGCAGTCTTCATCATCAGAGCGAGACGCAGATCTGCCTTGATAATGCACTGAGCCTTTCATAAAGTTTGAATACTTTACTTTCACGCTTACCTTTTATTGGTACTTGCAAATTGAACAATTTGATTGACTCTAGGTTTGTGGGAGAAGCGCTAAAGAACAATAAAAACTCAACAAAAACAGTATTTTTCTTGATTTTTTTAGCCTACTGTTTATTCGAGAAGTTTAATGGGTTGCCAAAGACAGTAAATACTGATGAGTAGACAGATGCATTTCAGATTAGCCAGCTGCAACTGAAAAAATGCGTAACAAAGCCCAGCATTGAACAGTTTGTTTTTTCATTATAATCAGGTACATACGTGTGTTATTCCCCACTGTGACATAGTGATAATGCTGGTACTTTCTTGCAGCTCTCGGAGGACCTGTGTGCTCGTTTCACGAGGATGCCCAGACACATAGGCCACTGTTATCTCTGTCTTGTACAAGCTTAGGTTAGAAGCACTCAAGTGCTCTTCGTTGAATAGGGAAGGATTTAGGTGTATTCTTAAATATTTTATGACATGAGACATGGATGAAAAGAGAACTCCTGGTGCTGAGAGTCTGCCATGCAGAAATCCTCTCTTTCAAATTCTCTACCCATTAAAATTGATTTTCATGCTCCAAGGGCAGTCAAAACATGTGACTTGTCCTGGAACTGAGAAGAAGGCTGAACAAGCCCTGTGGGCTGTAAAATAGTCAGCTCTGTCCCTAATGACCAGCTGTAACACAGAAAGTGATGGTCAAACAGATTGTGTGAGGTATAGGGTGGGAGAGGCAGATAAGACTCCACAGAAAACTGTGACTCTTTAAACTGTTGATTGAAAAGTTAGAGAGATAAAGTATGTAGGTCTCTTGAATTTAGAGTGATAGTTGCCCTAGTGGCCTTGAGCAGACCATGGGGACTGGGCAAGCTCCTGCTCAGGACTATAGTTTGCATGTTGCAGCTCACAATCAGGGCTGCAGTTCCCCTGTCCTGCAGTTGCCCCTGGGAGAGCCCATTCTAACCCTCTTAGCGTGGGTTAGCCAGGTGAGGAGTCTCACTGTTCATCCCCCTTCCTCCTCCTTTTTCTTCAAAGAAGAAGACTTGGTAATTAATATCAGTATACTCGGTTTGAAGCTTTGTGGTTCTTCAGCAGACTCCCACCAGGGTGGCATTCACAGGGTTTGGGGAGGTGCACAGCCTTGAACTGAGATTTTCATACACTGTGAATTCGTTACAGCTGCTGTACTGTGAGTGCATGCAGTCCTGGTATATATTGCTTACAATAGCGGATTAATTTGAGAACTGTCATTTTAATGGAGTGGAGAGAAAGATACCTGTTGATCTCATTATACTTTTTACTTGGGATTTATTACACAAAAAAAAAAAAGGATATAGAAAACAGTTCCTGAAGGCTATAAAGGTGAACATAGGAAATGTCTCTGCTGTTTAACCTACCTTTGGTTGACTTGTGCATAGAGACTGTGATGTTACTTAAATGAGGTCCTTTTAACCTAACTTTTTTACACAGAATTTTCCAGATGTGTAATGAAAAAATTACAAAACTCCAACCTGTATTAGTATACTGAACCCAAGACATACTATTAAAACAGTTAATGGTCATTTAAATCATCCACAGCCACCTTGGCCAGTTGATCTGAGAGAGTAACTGGTAAGAGCTGGCTGTCAGCCCTCTTATCCCCTCTGTGAAACAATGTTATTGGGGATTGGAATATGCCCTCGGTGCTGTAGGGGAACTGGAGAGGTCAAGGGTCTTATACCTGCCCTGAAAAACATTCCTCTGGTAAATTCAAATAGTAAAAGCTTAGGAATATTTGACTTTTTCAGAGAAGAAACAATTTTGGTGGTTTTGTTTTGTTTTGGTTTGGTTTGGTTTTTTTTTGTTTTGTTGTTGTTTGTTTTGTTTTGTTTTGTTTTAATATTAGTAACACAAAACAGCGTTTAGCCCCATTCATTTAAATGAGTGTATACAGTGGCACAGTTACAAAACCCACAGCAACCAGCCTCCACCATCTCCTCCATTTCCAACAGTCCTCAGAAGTAGGGTTAGGAGGCTATCCAGCAGCCAGAGTTGTTTAAGTTTGGTAAACCTTAGAATTACCAGTTTGATCTATGAGATATAGATGAAGTCCACAGACTCCGCTCAGTCATAACGTTCTCTTATGGCAGGCCTGACACCCTGTGTTTCTCAAACATCTTATAGTGTAAAATGTAGCACACAAATTGCTGGGACAAACTACTGAGAAAGAGTGAAAAAACCAGATTTTTTTAGTCTTGCCTCTTTTTCTTCCTTACAAGTGGTAGTATCATCAGGGAAAACTGGAAAAAAAGAAAAAATAAGGAAATTTAAAACCAGATGTATTCCAAAAGTATTTTATTTTCTTCTCTGAATTTATAAAATAAGGTATATTTAGAAAGAAAAAATAAAAGCAGGCAGGACAGGTGTTTTTTTTTAAAAATTAGGTTTTGATAGCTCAAGTGATCTAAATGAATGGTAATTAATTTCTTTTGTAGTTTACATAGGGTGTGGTGGCATGGTAAATGTGCTTTAATCAAACTGATTATTCAAGTGAGCTCTTACACAGCAGATGATCAGACAAAAAATGGAGCAGTATGGGCAAAAGTGATCCAATAAGCCAATAATGGATCACAAAAGTTCCTTACCCTGAGAATCACCAAGGTCACTCTGTTAGCTATTGTTTGTCTTTAGAAAGGTCATAGAAATACAAAAGGGAAGAGTAATTACTCTTTGAGCGTTAATTAAATAAGAGCATCCTTTAGAGTTCTATGGACTGATTATGTTGATAGATACAGCTATAGCTTTGTCTAACTCTGGGAATAGTTGCCTGCACATGTAGCAGATCATTCTGTGGGTTGAGCTTAAGCTATAGAAAGGCATTCTTGGGAAAAAAAAAAAATATCCACTCAAAATAAAATTTAGCAGATTTCCATCATGGGCAGACCCTCAATATCTCTTCAACCAGCAACTCTTTTCTGAAATCTGATGGCACACATTTTAAAAGTTATTATCCAGTTCTTCTTCACTTTCAAGCCATACACAAATGCACATTTTAAAAAGAAGTTAAGTGTTTTTCTTCTACTGTATTTTCCTTTTAAGTCCTATACATTCTAAATGCATTTAAACTAGCTTTAAAAATACCAAGCTCTGCAAATGTTCAAAGCGATAGATCTGAAAGACGTTAATTAGGCCTGGATGTAGAAATATATCATGTTTCATAAAATAGTGAGGAACCTAAACCTATTTGTCACTTATATAATTCTGAATGTTCATTTCTACTACCATTACGAATAACTCAGGAAGAGGGTACACTTTGAAGTACAACTATGATTGATTAGACTAAAGAAATTCCAGTGCTTCGTTGTGTACTACTTTAATCTTTTGAAAAGTGAATGAACAGCAGATGGCCTAATAAAGACACTCTGTATGTTTGCCCAGTATGGATTTGCTCTGAAGGGATTGGTTCGACACTTTAGAGTACATATATTTGGAATACATCTGTCTTAGTCAAGACAGATGGCTAAGGGAAAGAGAAACTTCCAAACACTTGGAATTAATCCAGTGAGAGCATCGCTTCTGAATGAAATTTTAATTGGTTATGACTATTGTTCTGTTAGCTTTCTTGGAAGAATGCAGCTGTGAATAATATAGACGAGCATAGTTTGGATGGCTATCTAACAGGACTGTTTATCCATACATCCAAGTAAAAATATTGTTGTTAGTGGATGCATTCTAATCTGCCTGTGGATAAAGAATGGTATTTGCTTTTTAGTGATCAGTCCAGTGTCTTCCATCACCTAAGATGACAAAAATTAGCCACAATCATGTAAAATCTGCTTTTCCATCCAGTATTAAAATTGAACTTGTTAATGTGAGCCAAATCACATGATTCTTTTTAATTATCCCTTTTAATGCAACTTGCAAATTTGAAGGATCTACGGTGTGTGGATAACAGCTGATGTATGAAATATATGCTTCTGCAATATACTCAGAAATGTGTCAGTCAAGCTGAAAAAGTACAACACACTCATGCTAGCTAGTGGGTTCCACACAGCAATGAGTGATTTACAGTTTTAGTTTTTTTATTAAGATGTTGCAGTTCAAGGGACATCTGCTTCCCTGAAAAGCTGTCTATTTCAATAAGCTTCTCTGTTAATGTTGCTGCATTAGCGTTCACACTGTTTGGCTCTATCGGTCTCATGGTGTTTCTAACTGCTGTACTCTTGTTTTCTGTTTTGCAGTAATAACAAGTAGTGGCTACAGTCCAAGATCGGCGCACCAGTACTCTCCACAGATATATCCCTCCAAGTTAGTGTCTGCACCTCTTCTAGTCTTTTATAGGGAATTGACCTTGGCTGTAGGCAGTTCTGTGGTGTGTTGCAAACAAGTGTTCATCAGCAGAAGAAACAGAGAAAAAGGAAAATTCTTAAGCCACAGTACTGGCTCCCTCTCCAACTTTTTTTTTGCTCATGTCTCTGCAGAGTAAGATCCTGCTGTGTGCAGTATTTCTGCACAAGAAATACCCTTGAATATCTGCACACAGTAGAAGGAAAAAATCAGACTATTGTGTTCTCAGACATCAGTTTATTAACAGTGCTGGCAATATATACAGAAATATTTTGAAAAAGTCAGTTTATATATAGAAATCATAATTGCATGTGCAAGTTGTATTCTGGGGGTAGTCCTGTCCCTGACCCTCCTAGGGCCAGGGTTACCAAACACTTCCAAACTTCACAATCGTGAACCACCCTTTTCTCGTCCCTCTCCAATATCATAACATTTAAAAATCAAATCAAATAAATTAAATAAATAGGATTAGCTTTTAATCTCATTATTTTAAAGCCAACATATGATAGGAATAGAAAATTTCTTTCCTTTTTTTTTTTTTTTTTTGTGTGTGTGTGTTGAGGAAAACAGGACCTTGGCCAATTACATGAATCCAGAGGTGGGAATATTAGCAAAAAACACAGAAGATGAAACTACTGCTGTTGGCAGTCTTATTAGTTTGCTTGTCCTACAATCAGTGTTGTGCACAAGGGTGCTTGATTCCAGTATGCCATCTATTTTTTTTCATGTATTTGATACAGAGCACAGCTACCTGTGTGATTTGGATACAGAGAAAACACTGAAATTGTAGCTGATTAGGTTTTTTTAAGTTTTGGGCTTTTTTTTCCTAAATTTGTATTGGTATGATGGTAGCCAATATTTATTAATACAGAAAGTAGGTGCCTCAACTAAGAGCCCTCACTCAACTTAAAACAAGTTTTGGCAAACTGTATCAGATACTTTTGGCCACATACATTACAAGGTTTAATAGAATTTTTTAATCTACTGTTACAATTTTTTGGCATATAAATTAATGAGCAATCCTTTTCTGATAGTAAAAGCTGCCAACTGTACTGAACTAATTAGAAAGGAAAAAAAAATTTAAAAATTAGAATCTGAAATTTAGTCATAGCTTTTAATGGCCAGGTTTCAGTTAGCGTAATTCTGCAGAGTGTGTTTATTCAACTCTTGGCCCATAAAATCTTATTTGACTTACAAAACAATCCAAGAAAAATGTTTCTCTGTATATTTTTGCAACTCTAGAGGGCAAAAATTTTAAACTTGGTTTTATTCAATCTCTCCATAAAACCCCAGTATTCATAAATAAAGACCATTTATATTTCCATTCTATGTCTCTAGCCCATATTTTCCAAACATTTAAAGCCCATCTGGTCACCAAAGTATTGCTATCATTATTTTTGTGCCCCTCTTAATGTGTATGATCCATCTCTTGTTGAAGTGAGAGGCTAGATGTCTGTTGAAGCAGAACCTACGAAGACGACATAATGTACTAGCTTCAGCATTCACCTCTGTATTTTCTTTATTGTTCTGGTCCAAATTTCCCTCCACTGGATTAAAAAAGCATGGGGGCTTTTCTAATTTATCTTGGCTGAAAGGGGGTCAAATCCATATAAAGCTGTTCAGCAGTGTCACGGCCCACTTCGAAGTGGACAGAGTAGCTTAAGAATCAAAGTGTGGTGATGGGATGGCACAGAATATTCACTGTGCCTTGGGGAATGTGAGACAGAGTGTTTTTCAACTTATTTCAGTAGAGGATGGAACAAATCCCAGAAGAGGAGCAGTTGGCAGAATAATGAACTGCCTTTGGACGTCTTTAAACCTTTTGCTTTACTTTATTGCTTGAATCAACATACAAAGTATTTGTTGCCACAGTAATGCTATTTTTCCTGATATTTAGGCCCTATCCACACATTCTTTCTACACCAGCAGCTCAAACAATGTCTGCCTATGCCGGACAAACCCAGTATTCAGGAATGCAGCAACCAGCGGTCTATACAGCCTACTCACAGACAGGACAGCCCTACAGCTTACCCACTTACGGTATTTGGCCTCTTATTACTTCACTTTAAGTAGAATAAAAAGCATTGCCAACATGAGTGTTTTTTGCTTTCTGTTTGATTTTTCCCGACTGTAAGAAAATATTTTGAAGAATCAGTTGAAAATTAATTTCTTATACAGATTTGGGTGTAATGTTGCCAGGCATCAAGACAGAAAGTGGGCTCTCGCAGACCCAATCACCACTGCAGAGCGGGTGCCTCAGTTATAGCCCGGGGTTTTCCACCCCACAGCCAGGCCAAACACCCTACTCTTACCAGATGCCAGGTGAGTAGCCAACTCTAAAATTTAAAGCTAAGTATTTATATCCATTACCAATATGCATATATGTGTGTTCATTTTGATAAGTTAGTTTGGATCTGGTCATGCAGTGCAGTCCCTATTTGCACCTTTTTGGGGGGGTTTTTTTGTGAGGTAAAATTACATGGCAGGACTGGAAGTATTTATTATATTTATTAATATAAACAAGTCTCTTTGCCTTCTTTCCCTGTTTCTAGTATGACATAATTTGATACTTAGATTAACCTAATTTTTTAGAATTTCTCTTTAATTCATATTTATTCTTTCATTTACTATTCATTTAGTTATTTACTTATACCCTTTGATCATTGACAACCTACTCTATTTGGATAATTTTTAAGCTTCTTGTACAGTTAGTCTTTTGAATATACAATTTACAAATACGAATTACTATATGAACATCTGATTTATGCTGAAAACAAGGACATGTCTCATTACAGATTGATTAAAAACACACAAATCATTAATTAGTCTTTGAAAATATTTTGTTTTGTGAATTTAACACTAAAGTGTTAGAAATTAAGGCAAAAGAGAAAAAAGTCTTTTAGGAGAGGTGAGATACTGCAATAAATTGAAAAATGCCTTCTAGGTCAGTGGAATGGCTTACTGTTAATATCTTCCTTTCATGGTGAGAAGAGAAATATATGCCTCTATGTGTTTCATTACAATATATTATTATTTTATCAGTAAAAAAAAAGTTTTTTTTTTCTTCTGATTGTTTTGCATCTTAAAATGGAGTATTCTGTTTAGAATTTTATCTTGGTTCACAAGCAAGTTCTCACAGTTAGTTGTATTTTTTAATTTTAGGTTCTAGTTTTACACCATCATCCACTATTTACTCAAACAATTCTGTTTCGAATTCCACAAACTTCAGTAGTTCGCAACAGGTATGAATTTTTATTTACCAATTATGAGAGGACTTATATCACTCCAGTTATAGCATGTTACTTTAATTTAGTTCTGTTATGTTGAATGACATTCACTGTGGTTCAATGCTATTTTCTGAGGAAAGTGACCAAAATCCCATTGTAAGCCTAGTTACATCTTGTGGCACTTAAATATTTCAGCAATCTCACTGTAGTATTTTACCAAATATCCTTAAATTAAAAAACATTAAATATTCTTAAATTAAAAAAAGTGCTAACCAAGCCTTCAAAATGCTTGCAAAAGTCATATGATTGTACATTTAGAAATACTTACTGGAAAAAAATCATTCATCACTGTACTTAATTAAGTGCTCTGCTGCATTTGCTGTTTTAGGATTATCCATCATACACAGCTTTTGGCCAAAATCAATATGCACAGTATTACTCAGCATCAACATATGGTGCATATATGACCTCAAACAACACGGCTGATGGCACTTCTTCATCATCATCAACCTACCAGTTACAGGACTCTCTCCCTGGGTTGACTAGTCAACCAGGTACAGATCTACATTCAGGTGAAAACAATTTTTGTATTTTTTTCTCTACTTGTATAAAGACAAGATTTCCACATCCACCTTGCATTGCTTGAATGCCTTGTTTGAATATTGACATTTTAAGCTCATGCCTTTCAGAAAACTTCACAATGTAAACCAGCCAAAATAAGCTTTTTTACTGTATAGTTAGGAAACATGTCATGTTTGTTTGCTAGTTAAATTAAGTATTTTCAGGCTGAGATGGTTGTCGCTATTTCTGACAGTGGGACATTCCTGTTTCCACCTACACAGTCTAAAGTATTTCTGTAAAGAATTTAAAACAAGATACCATTGTTCATTTAACTATGTCCCATCCATACTTGTTAATTCACTAATTTAGGTAAGAAAGAATAGAGAAATAGGTTAATAGCACAAGTCTCTTAAAAAAAAAAAAAAAAAAAGTTCATATTGAACTAGTCGAATTTACAAAAAGAGCATTCTCAGGAGACCCGAGGAGGCTCCCTTTGCCTGCCCAGCCCTGCCCTCTTGTGCACAGCCACCACATCACAGCCATAGCACAGTAGCCTGTTACTTATTTTCCTAGGACACCCCTAGGTGGTAATGACAGTTCTTCATTTTTCCTTAGCACTCAGAGCAATGTCTTCCAGGGCTGCTTCTCTTCCCTGGCTTCACTCAGGCAGCATGAGTAGTCCCCCTTACCCACAGACTGTGGCATTTCTAGAGCATTTCTGAGAAGACTAACGAACTGACTTTTGGATTAGGCTCTGCATAGGGGAGGAATTTGTGCTTTAGTCTCAAAATCACCTTACTGCACAAATCTTCCTAACAAGTGCACCATCTTACTGAAAAGTACAGCAGAAGGACTAATATATTATTATAATAAATGTGTACAAAAGAAAGGTAACACTGTGTAGAAAAGTATAAGCAAGGCCTCATACTTAATATAAGCTGCTTAAATTTACTAAAAATGTTGTAACTTTAATTACGAGTTGAAATTTTTTCTACCCAGATGTTTTTCTCAGGCTGATGTTTATATCCGTGTGTGTGCATGTGTGTGTGTGTGTGTGTTTGGGGTGTGGTGTGGTATGGTATGGATATGGACATGGTTTGGAATAGCTGTGGGGAGATACACATTCCCTTGATTTTTGATGAAAAGTGTAATATATTATTTGGTAGTCTCAGAATGTAAATTTAGGGAAAAAAAGGTAAGAGGTAGTGCATAATCAAGTGAAATTTCAACAGTTGGAGGATATCTATAACAGATACAAATAATATGTATTTTTAAAAGAGAATGAAATGTACTCAAAAGTTCTGTTTTGACAACTGTGCACGTCCTGTGTACTTTTCCTTGTTTTTTGTTATTCCTTCATATTCTCATTTGAGAAAATCAGTTTCCCATATTGCCTCTCCCTTATGTATCTCTGTTTCCTAAAAATGCAATGTAAAATTTTCATCTATTACATCTAATAGATGTCGAGACATCTATTACAAACACCCTTAGTATTGAAGAGAATTAGCAAAAAAAAGGAATCTTACAGAATTTGAACAGGTTGAAAAATTACTGAAGGCTTCACGTCTGTGAAACATTAATGATTTTTCTTGGTTGTGGATTGTTTAAACAGATGAAGTTGCTTTCTTTTTAAGTAGGTTGTGCATCTGAACTTAACAAATCCACCCCCATCTGTTCCTTATTTCTGTTGAGTGTTGCACTGATCATGAGACCCTCTGCTGAGAGTGAAACGCCCACTTTGTGAATGCATGTCATGCCTATGCACTTCTGTGTCACTGTAAAAATACATTTCCATTGGTGAGGTGCAGTGTCTTGGAGACTATTTCAGATACTGCAGATCTTTAGCACTCAGCATGTTCACTTACTGTCTAAAAGGCCTTAAGTCCTTAAGACTTACTCCAACTAAAACCTAAGACAAAACACAGCAAGGCACTTCATTCTTCTGCCATCTCTTCTAACTCTTAATTCAAATATCTAATCAAAACTTCTAGTACCTTCCAAAAATATAGGATTTTGCAGTTTCATAATAAATCCTCATCAGATCAAGAGTTAATAACAGTTAAAATTTTATTTATTGACCAAGTAATGAAAATGAGATGAAAATTGAAATAGATTTTACTCTTTCTGCTGTTCATGACAAGCAATAACACATTACAAGCCAGAAAGAAAAACCAGGCTTGTGACGTTGAAGCCATCTTCCTGCTGCTGTGTCTGGTAAGAGTCTGTAACAAAAATCAATCCATAAAGAGAGTGTGAAGGGGCTCAGAAATTCATCCATCCCACATTTATGTGATGCTCAAGCCTCAAGGCTTCTCTTCTGATTTTGTATTGTGCCTGTCTTATATTAAGATTTTTCAAAATGCACTCATTACCACAGAGCATTTGTGAGAGAAATAGGTATCTCCTAGGGCACTTCATCTCAAATAGGGATAACTCAGATGAGCCTTGGGATGAGGTCTCAGGAGATAAGTATATTTGAGTACATTTGATGAATACATAAGTACATTTAATCTAGGGCAAATAAAACTCTAACAGAGGAATAGACCTGGATAAAAGCTTCATGTTAAGGCGCCTCACTTTCATATGTCCAGGGTTCAGGGAGGTGAATCACTGTGGGATATTAGCTCCTGTTTGGTTACTGCGATGCAGCAAAGCTTACTCTCTCTTAATTTGGTACCCACAATGAAGTCACTCTTTGCAGATTCTCTGGGAGATGGCATTAGGTTTAAATGCACTGCATAAACTCTTTTCTCTTGCTTAAGTGGTAGAACTGTGTTTTAACAAGGAGGAGAGGATGTTCACATCAAACCAGAGATGGGAAACAATATTCTGGATATGAAAGACCACCTCCATTTGTAGTGGTGGTGCTGTAACTCCCTGTCCTCTAGCTGGAGTGCTGCAAGGTCTCCACAGAACAAAAGGCTTCATATTGGATATGAACAAGTGTATGAATATGTGTAACTACAACTGTGATAAAGCGGTCATTCCACAGTCTGGTTTTAACAGTTTCCTCTTGTTTTCATGGATCTCTGACGCTGCTCATAGCCCAGGAGGTTATGTAGTATATTTATTAGGCATGTGTTGAATCTTGGAAAAGCCAAAAAATGTCAAACATTGTAATAAAAATTTCTTCTGATATGAGCTGCAGTAGGAACTCTTCACAAGGGTAATGTTTTCAGTACTCTTTGATACTAGAATTTCTCACGTTTCTTTATGTTACATGGCTGAATTTTTAATAAGTTTTCTTTTTATCAGCATTGACCTCATTTCTAAAGCAGAGGATGAGAGAATACAGTTTCTCCTTTAGCGTGCTGTTGGTAAAAAGCAATTCAAGCAATTAAGCCTCCAGTTGTTTGAAAAAACATGCAATACTGACTTCTGCAGTTCTAAAATAGATACATACCTTGCATTCAAGTAGGAGACAGCTGGTCTTTCTGATTTACAGATTAACATAATGAAATAAAGTTGGCTTTAAATAGCTAGGTTTTACAATGAACAATGATTAGTTAAAATTCTGATTAGTAGATAATGATGCAAACATGTACAGAATTGACCCAAACAGAAGCCTGAGGCAAGTGGTAATGGCTAATGCTAAATGAAAATTGAAGTTATTTACTTTGGTTGTTGGATACTTTCAGAGAAGATTTAGAACAGGGCTTCTTTTTTTATATTTTATTTATAAACACAGTCATTGAGAACAGATGTTTTAATACATTGCTGTAGAATGAGTTTTGATTTTATTGTAAAATCTTGAAATGTTATAAATATGAAGACTTTTGTGATAAAAACGTAAACATCCATCTTCACTTAATTTTTGCTTTTTCATTTCTTGTTTGGTTTGGGATATTTTTGCCACTCTGTCTGTAAAATCTAGGAAACTGTGTTTTTGTACAGAACTCTTGCACACTCAGAACTTCTTTTGAAGCCAGTGTAGGTCTTTGCTGCACAAGGACTCTTCTTTTTGTACATTTGTACATTTACCAAAATACATTTTGCTGTTCTTCTTACAGGGAAAGAACTAAGATAATGTAATCTTATTGATTGTTTTACTGCCTGCAGTGTCCTTACTGACATCAAGATCATACTAGGAATAGAAGTGATTACTCAACAAGAACTCTCTTCCTTCGTTCTGTAGGGACAAGTGAAACCACACTGAGAACATTTTTCATTAGGTATTATTATTACTGCTTAACTTTTGTGCCATTTTTTGGCAAATAAGAATTTTAACTGACAGAGAATTTACTATAGAGTACGTATAATCCTTATCCAGTTCAGGACAGTATCTGGAATAAATTCTCCAATTGCAGTTTTGAAAAATTTCTTCTGAAAGTTTTACTCTGTTCTGCACAAGCAGAGAAGCACTTTCTGAGGAAGCAAGAGAGGCAAATCCGATTTCCTCCTATTTCATGGAGGATTCATCACCTTCCACACGGATACAGGGCTGTGGATTCTGGGCCATGAAAATAAGTCTTTATACTTAATTTAAATCAATTAGTCAAATAAACAAGTGTACCCCAGAGAACTTAGTTCCTGAGCCTGCTGGTTAGGACATTTACCTGAAGAAGGACATATCTAAGTTTCTTCTTCTTCTCCCTTTCTTGAATCGGGAATACTTTCATCACAATGTCTAGAGCTCTAGAGCTGCCATTCAGGAATGTAACAGTATGGGCTTAAATATTTTTCTTCCAAAAAAATACAACAGTATTTTTCCTGTCAAGATGTTTAAGTATATCTTGCAGTATATTTATTTTTACTATATTTTGTATGTGGTTGACTGCAAGGTGTAAACAAATGATGGAAGAGATTAGGAATTCAACTATTGTGTTACATTATGTGTTACTGCAGACTCAGCTGAGACTGCAGTCTCCTTTGTCTTCTTAGAGCCTGCTAGATCAGAATTGGTTTCTTTTCTTTGTTGTGGAGAAGCAAAGAGGTCAATGATTTGAGGAAGATCACAGAAACATTCAGTAATTCATGTTGGAAGGGATCTCAGTGAGTCTTTTGGTCCTACCTGCTCGTGGACGAGTCAGCTTAGGTCGTGTTGCTCAGGGCTGTGTCCAGTGGAGGTTTGAGTATCTCCAAGGATGGAGAATGCAGTCTCTCTGTCTGGGAACCCATCCCAGGTCCTGACACTCTCATAGTGAGGGAATTTTTCCTAGTATCTAATGGGAATAACCCTTGATGTGATTTCTGTCTATGCATCTTGCCCCTTCCCTGCATACCTCTAAGAAAAGTCACTTAGCCTCTTTTACTGCATGCTCAGCTCATTAACTGACTTGGTGGCCCTTATCTGGACTAATTCTAGTTTATCAATATCCCTTCTACTTGGGAACCCAAAACTAGGCATTTTTTCAGATATGGTCTTGCAAGTTCAGAGCAGAGCAGAAAAAATCACTCTTCTTCATCTGCTGGCCACTCAGTGATGCTCTTTAGTAAAAATGAAAAAAAAAAAAAAAAAAAATTCAGATTCCAGCTCAAAATCAGATGCATTATAGATGATTCTTGGGAAATTCTTTTACCAAGTTAATTTATTCTGCAAATGTGCCATCATGAGCACTTTTAACAAATATTACCAAAGTGGTCCAGAAATGCACAATTACAGGCAGCTCAAGGTCTTCCTTGAATCAAACTCTATAAGAGACATCAGATCAAACCTGTACCCTTTCCTTCTTTAACGGAGAAAATTGAAATCATTAATAGTATAAACAATGAAAGACTTTTTTTGTCATTTAGCACTTGGGAACCTAGCCAAACTACACTTATTGCTACAAGTTTTAAAAGGGCACTGTGTTATGAAGAAAATGATATTTTCGGGTTACTGAGCTGTGGCATCCAAATGATTTGTAAAGAGAAGTTCCATGCCATCCTTCCTGGAGATATCTTCTTCAGTCAGTCTGTCTTACATAGCTACTGGTTCATGATTACCTCTAAAGCCCTTTGTTACCATAAGAGGGAGAAAGTAGATTAAATGAGTAAGTCAGGGCCTGACTGTGATTAAGACCAGATATGCCATACCAGATCAAAGGTCCTTCCAGCCCACCACACCTGGAGAAAAAGATGATCAGAACACAGAAAGTACGACTTCATCCTCCTTCAGGTACTAACTGGAATATTGCATTTATAAAGCATATAATATATGACTTTGCCAATTTTTGGGTAGAGATAAGGTAAGAAAAAAAAAAAGAGTGAATTCTACTAGAGAGCAGGTGACATGGGAGGAGGAGATGAAGCAGGAAGCTGCCTGGCTGTTCTGGGGCATGGATGAGTGTCAGAGGGTGTTCTGGTAAAAGTAATGCAGGACTTGGAAATAAGTGTAGCTGAACTAAACGTGGGAAATAAAATACCTTAAGTAAAAGACACTTCATGTTTTGAGAAGCCATTAGTGTGACTTCTAAAATACATCATCCTTGGATATATTGATATTTTGCCTGGGCTCATGCATATTTGTGTACATATCTGCAGATGCATATGTCATTTTAATCTTATTCTGCTAAGGTTTATCATGTTCACTGGTAAAGCCACCTTATCACTCATTTTTCACAGCTTTTTTTACATGTATCTTGTCATTGAGTTTGCATACAGACATATCCAGCTTTGAGAAAAGAAAAAAAAGTTAATTATGTTAAAATCCAGCACTAATTTTTACATGAATGGTTGACTTTACAGGGGAGTTTGACACAGTGCAGAGCCCCTCCACGCCAATCAAAGATCTTGATGAGAGAACATGTAGGAGTTCTGGGTCGAAGTCTAGGGGTAGAGGACGGAAGAATAATCCATCACCTCCTCCGGACAGTGACTTGGAGGTATGCCTGTGGTAATTGATGGGTATTGATGCAGAGGTTTCTTCTGTGAAAAGTAAATTCTGAAAACTACGTCTGTGGAAATAGCTTCAAGCATTTTAGAAAACATCATGGACTCAGTCTCACTAGCTGAATGCAACAGAGATTAGTAGCTGCTTTAACGTACGTGTACAATGAGACTTTACTATTCTGTGTCACAAAGTTAGGCAGAAAGGTAAATGTGTTTCGGCCTAGTTCTTTTTAGCTCTCAGATTGCATGTCTTGCAGTTTCTTGCAAGTTTTCATGCAAGAGAAGCACAAATTTGTACTCAAAATTGTCACATTTTCTTTTAGTTTTTTGAATAGGAAATCTCAAATATTCAGCTTAATTGCAAGTATTTATGGATGCAGTGTAAATATGCAGGATCATCTGGCTGTAGCTTTTTAAGTGCTTAGGCACCAGTTTGTCCTTGTGCATGTAAGTAATGCCAGCGGATTTCAGTGAGGCAGCTTCTATCAGTGAAGTTATAGCTGTACTTTAGTACAGTGCAAGGTCAGTGCTTATCAAAGAAATATATCTGCTTAATATACAGGAGGATGATTTCAAGCACAGGGGATGTCTTAGCAACATAGTACTTATAGTCCTATTACTCCTGTGTTAGCAGTGCACTGCCTGACGATGACAGGAGGAAGGGAAGTGCCTGCGTGTGTTTGTGATACTCCAGCTCTGTCATCAGGGATGTGCTGCCTGCCAGTGCAGTGAGTCCTCTGCTGCCGCCAGAGCAGAAGTGGGAGCCAGCAGCCTTGGCCAGCTCCACTGCTCTGCCCTCACTGACCAGCTCTGGGTACAGAAGAAAACAAAATTATTGCTGGGACTTGGCTGGCTGAACAGCTCATCCTGGGATAGGAGGGTGGGCTGCAGGGCTAGGCACTGAATGTAAATGCCAGTGCTTTTGTACAGAAATTTATATATTTTTCACTTTTTAAAGGATTTAACTTTTCCAGTGAAGAGACTAACTTCTTACATTTCAGGGTTTTTTTTGTTTTGTTTTGTTTGTTTTGTTGTTGTTTTGTTTGTTTGGGGGGGTTGTTTGTATTTTTATTTGTTATTTTTTATTTACCAGTGAAAATGAAAAATAGTGAAATTGAATTGATGGAGTTAGAATGATCTGTTAAATTCCATAATATTATTTAAATTCTGCATTATATGTGGCATGTAGCACTTTTTACCCAAGATTTAATTTTCGTTCTACAGTACAAATAAAGAATCTTGAATCAATAAGACTCGCACAGAAGTATCTGAAAGTACTGTTTATCCTTAACAATTATGTTTGACCCCACATCATGTTTCTGAAATCTATGTTATAGAGCTTTTATGAAAAGCTTTTTTGAGGACAAATAAGAAATGGTTGAAGAGAAGAAAGTTACTCTCCTTTTAGGTTTTTACCATGCATGATGCACTGTTATTGCTGATTTTCAGAGAAACACTGCTCAGTTGACTGCTTGATGAAACTCTAGGACTCAGTTGACTTTTAGTCCCCCTGGGTGGGATGGTGGTGGAACTTGGATGTTATTTGTTCAATAATATTTTCCCCAATTCTGTTTTCAGCGTGTATTTGTTTGGGATTTGGATGAAACAATCATAGTTTTTCATTCGCTGCTTACAGGATCCTATGCACAAAAGTATGGCAAGGTATGTGAGCTATGAATTCTGTGTCAATTCACTTTATCAGAGCTATCTGGCTTGCATATATATATATATATGTTTTTCACTTCCTTATGACTTGGTCTGAAGTTGGAGGGAAAGTGTACAGGAAACCCCATTTTCAGAGGGTTAATGTGAAGAAGTCAAGGACAGGAACGAGACGCAGACCCTAAGCACAATATATGAGGCAGGGCTGAAGCAGATGCTGTAAATGAGGGAAGAGCTTATAGAGGAACAAGGATGAGGTTTCTGATGTTGGAAGAGACATTGCACGGAGATAATAGATGAAGTGCACCAATGGAAATAACTGACGGTATCTGGAAGCGTAGAGGAAGAAATAAGAAACTGGAGTGGTGGATGAATTTACAGGAAGTCGATGAATCAGAATGAGTAAGAAAGAGTCTGATCTATTTCAGTGCCAGCTGCAGATGTTATTCTTTGACTCCCCAACTTTTCTGTGAAATCTTTGTTCCCTTGGCTGGCTCTGGGGTGAGTAATGCTGGGGAGTGAAACTGTTTCTTAAGTAGTTTTAAGCATCCTCTCCCCTCCAATGAGTCCAAAAGGAGTTCAAGTCACAGAGCAGGGAGCCTGAGAGTAGGAAGAAGAGTGAGGGAGTCAAAGAGAGGCAGTGGCAGCCTGCAAGAGCTGAGTCAGCAGTGAGCCCCACTGTACTGGTGATGGGAGCCCAGGGAATGGCTGCTCTGGCAAGGGAGGAGGGACTGGTGCATAGAAACAGAAGCAGACTGGTAGGAGGAGCAGAGCTAAAGGCCCGAATAAAACGAAAAGAAAATTAAAGCAAATATGTGGAAGGAAGAAAACGGACAGGGGGAATGTTGGTATGTACATACATAATTTTCTCTGTGCTGTGCCATTCCAGTGAAATGAATGCAAAAGTATTACCTTTTAAGAACGTACATAGACCGTAGAACATAACATGACCATATTCATACTCTGTCAGATAAAGGGCTTGTTGAACATCTTTTCAGCCTCTTTATTCTGGACAGAATCACATGCTTGAGGAAAGCATGTAAGAAATAGTATATTACAGAAATACTTTTCACACCTACCTCTCCAGCCAGTGGGTTAGAAATGTCCAAAGCCAAAACCTGTGGATTATAACCATGGATGAGTCAGTCTTCCATGTGAGCAGCCTTTTTTGGTTATTAAAAGTTAATAGGAAAAATCACAGGCCAAGTGAAAAATCAGAATTTCTGAAATTTTAAGATAAGGATAGTTATTCATGTCTAAAAAAAAAAAAAAAAAATCAGCCTTGCTTGCTTTGCAGCTTCACAGTGCCAAATCTGTGTACATTTCAGTATTCTGTCAAGAAACCCCCTTCTGCTGTTTGTCAAACATTGTAACAACAGTGACTTTGTCAGAACCATTTCCGACTAATAGTAATCAAAACAAGAGAAAAACCTAGCTGAACATGAACATTTCTATCACTTTGAGAGTAGCCTGTAGTCTGCCGTAGAACTTCCTGAATTGCTCCGGTGATGCAGTCATTCCTTTCCTTCTTTTTCTATTGTGCCCTTAAGATGTTTCCTAAATCAACTTTAATGCAGATTTTTAGAAATCAGAGCACATTTTATGGCTCACAAAACATCTATGGATAAATTTGAAAACTGTCTTGGAAACTGCAATAGAAGTGTGATTCCTCTTGATTTCCCACTTGGCTAGGAGTAGGGATATTTGAAAACATCCCAGTAGCTTTGTTCTTAAGAACACATGTGCTGCTAAAATTGACTCTTCATGCAGAGACTTTAGAGCAGTAATGGCATATTAACAGCCAGTAGTACTAACAGTAGGTAAAGTCGACTTATATAAACCACGAGTATCTCAAGGGTAACTGAGATCAATATCAGTAAACAAATGTCATGGACAACTGTGAAGCAAAAGGCAGGGAATTCCTAAGTAAAATTTTTTTTTTTCTTTTTTGGTACTGATAGGTAGCATCCACACAACTAAGGAAAGGTGTTCATTTCCAGACACTGGAGAATAAAAATAGTCGACTTTTTCTTTTCTGCAGTGACTGCCTTTGCCATATTTACGTACAACTTGTTTGGAATGTAATGAGTAATTACCACTGAAACTCAAATGTGTATATTGTTAACTGCAAGGAGGCTAGAGCAGTAGAAAAGGGAATGCAGGGAGAGCTTATCACGGTGGGCTTTAGCTTTTGCATGTCACTGAAGTGCTGCCTAAACTTAAGGTGGGATGTGTTTGAGCCTAATTGCCTCAGAGGTTAGAAATGGGAGAAGAGAAAGATATCACAGATGGACTTCAGTCAGTCTCTGATGCATGACATTGTTAACAAATGTAGTCCTTATCTTTTCTGCATATCATTTCCATCTTTATAGAAGACCTTAACACAGGCTGAATATTGGATTATTATAAGAATTGGGTTGCTATGAAAGTAAATAGTTCAGGAACTGTGAGGTTGTCAGCAGAACTCTTATGAGCACATAGGTCTTTCAGAAGTCTTGAGAGAGCTCTTTATCTTGAAAAGGTGGTATAAAGTCATTATTTACTTAACAATGAAAAAAGAAATGGTGATACTAAATTATTTAATTGGCATGATTTGCTATCTGATTTTAAAAAATAAAAGCATCTCATGTCACACAAATTCCTAGCTGTGCATACTGTGTTCTTCGACATGTATTTTATGAGCACATTTTGTATAACATAATTGGGTTACTCCCAAAAAAAGAAACCCCATCAAAAAACCCTCACAGGAAAAGGAGAATTTTCCCATTCTCCCATATTTAAATTTTCTACATGAGAATAGCATGTCTTTAATGTGAACATTGCTTTAAGGGAAGGGATCTCATTATACCATTTATACCAAGTGTGCTCACTTCGTACTTGCAAGGAGTGAGTGAGATGCAAGGAGTGAGTTTAAAGCTAGTGTGAATATACAGACAGGAAAGGATATTCACCTACAGTTCTTTCCATCTATTCCTTGACATGCAAACTTTCAGTAACCAGGTGAAAAGAAAAATTCAGAAATTAGTCTTTTAATCTCTCTGTTCTGCTTCAATTCAGCCTGCGCAGGTACGCAGTGAGGGGAGGTGCAGCACATTATGGCCTGGCAAAGGGATCTGTGTATGAGTGCAGGAGCACTTGAGAGCTGCAGCTGTACCTGGAGATAAACACTTTATCTTTAAAATATTTCTGTAGTTTAACAAGTGCTTGGAGTAGAAAAGGAAAGGCAAACCAACATCCCCATGGGCAATGGGGGCTTTCTTTGGCAGAGAGTATTTGGGAAGACCTGGATCTAGTAGGCAAGTTTCAGATTGTATATTTGTCAAGAGAACAACAGATTTCTGACTTATGCCTGAGGGTTTACGAAGCTGAGAATGGACACTCTCCTTGGTATATAGTTGTTCAGCACTTTACATGGTGTGATAGTTATTTGACTTCAGAATTTCCTAGAGCTGTTATAATAACCATGTTAAAAGCAAAATTAATTATTTGCTCAAAGATTTAAGTTGTTGGATGCAGCTTTAAGCATCTCATTTAAAACACAGGGCAAACTGCTGCTGCTTCTCTGGGCACCAGAAGGGTATAGCTTTAAACCCAACTGAACTGGGAGAGACTTGGCCAGAGGTTGACCAGTGTGTGTCTTTTAATTGTAAATACCAGAGGATATTCCGTGCCTTGATGTTTTCTACCTGTGGGTATTTCTCTGTGACTTTTGGTGTAGCGGTTATTTTATTGGGCTGGTCAAAGCTAACAGAAAAAGGGAATAAAAACTACACTACAGCTGTGTTAGGTTTCAGGGAAACCATGCTGCCTCACAGCAGTAAGAGTACCTCTTGCTGTTCAGCTCATTTGCTCATCTGCTTTGTTCTTCATAAAACTAGTATGTTTCTATTTTAAATTACTTACTGCAGTAGCAAATTGCAAACACTGGCATTGGAGCTGTGACTTGTGTAGACAATGATGGTTTTTGCAGCTGAACACCAGTTGGCAGATATCTTTTTCTACAATGCTGAGCTCCTAAGTGAGCATTGGTTTATGTGACAGGACATGTGTTAGGAGATATCATCTCTTTAAAGTTTATGAGGTACATTCTTATTCCCTGTGAACAGTGGGTATTCTTTGTTCTATTGCATTCCAGTTATTCTTGCTGGTTGAAGGCTGATTAAGATGGAGTTTTGTCCACATCCCAGCATTTATGTTTCATTCATTACTCCCAGGTTGACCCAGAGGGTAAAGATGCCAAAATAAATGCTGTGACTCAAGGTGCAACTAGTTAAAAAAATGAAAAAAATTCCTTTTTTGAGCTTAGAAGGGAGAGAATGTGATTCCCAAGTGCAAAAATCAAAACAAATCCACACTTGATGGTCATATTTTGCCATTTTTGATAACATCGCAAATTACAGAAAGCTGTCAGGGAGGCCTTGTATTCTTCTCTGAAAGGGCTCAGAAGCTTTTTACTGCTCACTCTGTTTGTCCAGTCATTAAACAGAAAAACTTTGTCGCCATTAACACCCATGATGACGTTCCCAAATTCACTCATAAATATTCTCTTGTCCACCTATATTAATAGTGTATCTCTCATCGCCTCCAGTTGTCCTCTCCATTCACTCCCTCCTTGTCTGAGACCTCTGAGTTGATTTTCCTACCGCCTTCTAGAGAGCATGGAACAGAAACTCCCTATGGAGTACGTGAGTTTTCCTTCATCAGCCGCCACGTATGGTTATTAAGAGGAGATGTATTCTCTTCCTCCGTTATCACCCATATGAATCTCTCCTGGGACAAGTGTCGCCTGTGGGAGAGTTAGAGCTGAAGTTAAATCTGAGATTCCTACATAATAGAGGGAAGTGTCCCTAAGCTAAAAATACTGATATTTAAATTAAGCATTTCCACTTTTCCCAGAGGTCAGTTTTGTTCTGAGTCTGTTCAGGACAGCCACCCATTGAAAACCACCTCCTACAATACTATTCATATATTTTGCTTGTTTTCATGCTTATTTTTAAGGCTTTATGCATGCAAATTGCTGTCACAAGAAATCTACCTGACAGTAATGCATTTGTTTTCTGAGATGTTCTAAAAGTCAGTTTGGTGTTTGTATTTTTTTTTCCAAGAAATTAAATGATTTTGAAAATCTTTTGCTGAAACCTGACTTCCAAGACAGTATTGAATAGATTTCTTCCACTAATGGACACTGAGCTTTTGGGGCTTTATTCCAGTCACTTTCCTCTTGGTCTAAACACTTACCCATTTAAATATTGGTTCTCCCAGGATATTTTTATCTAGTTTCCCAGGAGGCATTCCAGTGGATGGACCAGTCTAGTACAGAAATCCACAGACAGACAGTCTGGCTCCAGTTTAGTGCCTTCATCTGAACGTAACTAAAGTAATTTGTATTTTGGTATACAGAACTCCTGTAGCTGGTCTTGATTTTGCTGCACGCTAATGATATCTGGCTAACATCATGCCTCTGAGGGCCAAAGAGTTGTTCTTTATTCTACAAATTATCTGGGGAAAACTTCCAGATTTGTTTGGGGTTTTTTTTAAATCATTGTTTCCTCTTTTGTGTGTGCTTGTGCAGAGTAGCTGAAAATACCATATTGGCAAAAGTTCAGTCTGCCTTTTATCGAGTTTTCCAATTTGCTGTGCTAAAATCTGTATCAGCTGCAAGTTTCTTGCTTTCTTTTCAACACTCAGTCCTTTGTGCCACTTGATTCAATCTGTAACTTCTGTTTCAAGTGGAAAGACTGTAAATTGATGATTGTGATCTTCTTCCACATTGTGCAAACACTGTAAAACCACAAGACCCTGACAAATCTTCTTTGTTTTGGTCTCTTTTATATGTGAAGAAAATAACATGACGAGCTGGAACATGATGTGTAATTCCTGTTAAACAGTTGCAGTGGAAGTGTTGGTCAATTTATTAAGGGAAGAATTGTTCATGCTTTGAGAATTCAATTCCAGTGACTCTCCTTTAGCATTGTTATGGGGAGATCCCATATTGATTTTGTGCTAAGCTAAAATGAATTCTCTTTGCTTCATTTTATTTTTCATGTAGTACCTAACAATATCCTTCTCATGCCTGTGTTGAAATAGGAATGCAGGAAATATAATATCAATAGTAATAAAGTCAGGCATAGTTGGTTACAAAACTACTATTAATAAGAAAATCATAAAAGCTTTGTCACATTTTTATCTTGCAACTATACTAGGCAAGGCAGGAAATTGTCATATATAGATGGTAGTTTCTGTAAAAACAAATTGCATTATAATGAAATACATCATAGCAAATTTCTACATTCGAATCTGCTTCTACTCAGAAAGGGGTAAAAAGAGGATGAGAATCAAAAGTGAGATTCCAGCTTTGGAAGCACTCCAGTGAGTAACATACATAAATAATAAAGAGTTACCACCTGTTCATAAAATGCACGTGCCTTAGTGTTTGTAGGATTGAGGCAAAGAAGCATATTGCAAATACTCTATACTGTATTTTATCTAGGACGAAAAATCTATAATTAAATATGCACAGAAAAATAAAAATGCAAAAGAAAGAAGAGAGTCACATGCTTATATGTGATGACATTTTGATAAAAGCATCATGGCTTGAGGAGGAATCTCATGAGTCCAGGGTATTTTGATTATTTGTATTCAAAGTACCTAATGTGAGTTTTACAAATCTGTTAATGTGTGTTCCTTGATCATCCTCTTGGAAAACTGATCTTTGCACTTGCTGCTGCCTTTAGACATGTGACTTTCAAATTCAGTAAATATGACTGCAGAACACAGAGGGGATGAAGTTCTGTTACTGGGCACTGCATTTGGTTTTTACTTCTGAAAGGTAGTCTAGACCAGTTCAAGGGTCAACATAAAAATATTTCCTTTCACTGAAAGAATTAGGTCTAACTTTGGATTATTACAATTTCTTGAAAAACATTCTCCCCTTCAAGTATGACTTTTTCATGAGCAAGAATCAAAATATGTCTGTGTTTCAGATTTTACCATTAGTTATTAAGTGATTGAGTGCAGAAGCCATCTTTTATTCTGTCACTGTGAAGCCCTGGAGTAGTGGGTGTCTGATCTTTTTTGGGAAGCCTTTGATCCAAACACGAACAAATGATCATTTGAGGTTTTGTGTGATTTTGTTGCTACATGCTGGTAAACTTTTAAACTTTAAATCTCAAGGTATTTAAGAAGGGGGTTCTGAAAATTTGATAGTGTCACTCGGAGTTTAAACTATGGAATACAGGGTTTTTTTAATATTCTCATGAGAAGAGGATCACGTGTTTTAAAAGTCCCTTGCAGTATATTAAGCCCTAAAAAGTTACCTTAACCCCACAAGCTCAGGCAGATAATTAAGGCAGTAATCAAACTAATTACCAGGTGTCAGCAAAGCACCAGGAACTATTATTCTAAAACAAATGTAAGGTAATGCAAATTTGCTTTACTATTTCCTAGCAAACCTAGAAAAGTTAAATTAATTACCTTACATTTGCTATGCACTTAATGCTCTCAGTGTTATTGCAGATCAATAGATTTGTGATGTCTTGCTGAGGCCGAGCAATTTGATAGTGTGAAAGTCAACCTACGAACAAACAGGACATTTTGAATGAATCTCATCCAGGGACAAGAATCCAGTATTTCTACAGAAATGAAGGGGTGATCTGTAGCAAACAAACTTACAAACTTACAACATTTCCCATTCCTGTGGGCCAGCTAAAGAATCATGCCATGGACTGCAGGCACTTTGCTGAATGAATAGCTGCAATGAAATCATAAAGGAGAGACCAGAAATTCATCAATGAGTGCCTTCATGGAAAAAAGGGAAATACAGAGACAGAGAAGGATCAACTGTGAAGTCTGAAGCTAAATATTGGAAAAGAAGAAAGTGGGGGAAAAAAGCAATGTAGACCTAAGCATAGCCAAGGCAGTGATGATTTTCCAAAGTGAAACTGAATTTGGGGAAATGGACCTAGGTTCAGAGTACCTTTTGTATTTTTATAAAGCAGAGACATTCGAAATGGAAAAGGCCACTTAAGCCACACCTTCCTATCACAGTATTATAATTACCTACAAAGTAATCATCTGCTAGAGATGACTACATTTCCTAATCCATCTTGGCATGACCTTGGTGAGGACTTCTGTGTGCCCCAAATTTGGAAAGAAAAGCCAAGAGATCAGAGGAAGTGTGCAGTGGACTGGGTGTCACACGAAGTAATTTGTTCCTCCCTCCGCTGTTGATTCAGTTCACTGGGTCAAAAAAATTGGTTACTGCTCCATGACTCAGCTTTTTTCTGCCCACAAACTGACAGGCAAGATACTTACATATCTTTATAAAAGGCTCAGTGATTAAAAATGTAGTGTACTTGTATAATAATAATCAATATTGGTTTTCCTACATACATCTTTTGTGAAAAGTTCCTTCCCTGTTTCTTGCCTTCTTTATGCTTGTTTATGTGTATGTTTATGGCCACCAGGTTTTCCCCTGTCAGTTCAGCCAGGTTGCAAATTCCTCAACTTTCAAAAATTTGATTTTTCAACATTCACAGCTGCCCAGATTTTCTCCCACAGGTTTAGCAGTCTCTTCTTACAGCATCGTATTAAAGTAGCTTAAAACTGAAAGGATTTCAGAGAAATTTCTTACTATGTTAATTTTTCAAAACAAATCTTTGAATACAGCAATTTTTAAAGTAGTTGTGACATAACTTACAAGTATGTAAGTAGTTAACCTTGCTTTCTGTTTTTTAAGGATCCACCAATGGCAGTGACGCTTGGACTGAGAATGGAAGAAATGATTTTTAATCTTGCTGACACACATTTATTTTTTAATGATTTAGAGGTAAGAATCAAAGAAATATAAACACAGTTGCTCCTGTTTTGTTAACATGGTAGATCTGCTGTGCATTAGTGTTTATTGTGTGTGACATTTTCTGCCTCTGTAGTCTTTAGATCTGTCCTACTCTAATCAGAGAGAGGTTGGCCAGGTGGCACTGACTTCCTGTGGCACCAGAGTCCTTCCATGAAACTCAATGAGAGAGAGAATCTGCAAACTACCCATTCCTTTCTATGTCCTATAGCCATCTTTTCAGTTTCCATGGACGTAGAGCTGTCCACTGTCATCTCCAGGAGGGGAACATATGTGCCTCACATTCTTCTCTTGAAATTCTTTACATTCACTTTCAGTGGGTGCCATCATATGATCACAAGAGACTGTGTTCTTCTCTTGACATACCTGACTAGCCCTTTAGCCATAGGCCTACATTTCTTTTTCAAATGGAGAATATTCTTAATTTACCTTACAGACTGCAGCATCAGAGAGCTGGGACTATAATGTGTTCATCAGTGATGTTTCTTCCCAAGGTAACCAGGCAACCACATGCATTGTCATGGTCAGAAATGACCTCTCCCTAGGGAGTACCTGCTGTGGACAGATTACCTGTCAGAAGCAGGATGGATGGACTACTGTGGGGACAGTGATCTGGGAAGCACACTTATCAGCTGGGCTTCACAGGTTTTTTACTTCACTCTGAGAGTCTGTTAGCGTGGAAAATGAAAGTCTTATAACCATGTGCATCAAGAGACAGGGTGAAAAACAGTTTTCAAATTAAACCATGGGCTTTTCAGACTTTCCCCAGTCTAAAACAGTTGTTTTCCTATTCAGTGTGGATCCCAGATTTCCCTCCGTGGACAGATATTTGCCACTAGTGGCAGCTGGAAGACTTGGAGGTTTTGTTTACAATCACAGAGGAAAGTCTCTGGTGAGAGAATAGAAAAAATAAGGACAAGTGAGATTTTTCCATCCCCTGGGATGTTGATTTTTCTAGTGTGTTTTTTGTTCCTTCAACAACTGTAGGCAGTAAGGAAAGCAGAAGGTACCAGTGTGTCATTGTCTTTGCTCCCCTTTGCAGACCTTATTTATTCTTAGATCCTTTTAAGTCAAGAAACAAGACTCTACTTCACCCCACACCTGAGCTACATTTCCTCCTTCCAGCAGCAGAAACTGAGAAATAAAGCCCTCGACATGCCTTTCCCAGTGTTTTATTGCAGTCCTAGTGAGTCATCACTTGACAATGCAAGTGCATTTGGTGAATGTTCTCCTGCTGGTGCCCTGTACCAGGGAGAGATGCCAAATAAATTTTCCAAGGCATTTCTTCAATTTCTCTTTAGCAGACCTTTACCCCTGTGCATTCAGATTTCGTGCAGCATGAATGAATTTTAAGCAATTTGGTAGAATATGCCCAGAGTTCTTCAATCTTGTGCTGAGTTCGAGTGGAGGAGTTCAGCAAAAATGGGGCTTTGCCCTCCTTCCATCCCTCTTTATTCTTGCTTGTGGCCATTGAAGCTTCCTACCTTTCTCTCATTTTTTATTTTCTTTGCAAATCACAGGTTCAGCTCTCATAGATGGATCTTCACATTTTGGATAGTCTTCGTTGGGAGGTTTTAATATCCTGTCCAAAGACTCATACACCAGCTCATTCCAGAGCTTGAACAGTATCCAAATAGTTTCCAGTTTTAGATAAATCAAAAAATACTACTTGGGGACTATACTGGAGAGCCTCGTAACTCCATCAGTTTTATTTGATTAAAACCTGTTTCTATATGCAATTAATAATCAGACTTGCTATAAGAAATAAAGCATTTTATAGTCCAGAATTAATCTTTGTTTCAAAACCAACTCTCTTATAAAATTACCAAAATATACCTCTCTTATAAAATTCCAAAGTTCATGTACTGAGATGAGTTGTATGCATCTCATACATTCTAGCATGTATGCAGAAGTGAGAAGACCAGCAATTTTCTATCTTCTTAACAAATAAGATAATGTGGTGACATATGTAGAGTCATCCTTTAATAAGCTGATGAATAAATCTGTCTTCTTAAATATGTTTGCAGAGCACATGGCCATTACTGAATATTATAGGGCATCTGCTTGATGAATGTATAAGGAATTCTGAGAATTCCCCAGTTCTGACTTGGGGTCTCTCTCTCGTCTCTCCTCCTCTCTCCATCTGTCTTTATCTTCCTCTCTCCATCCTCACAAGGAGAGCGGAGCTGAGTGCTGAGCTGCTGATCAAGCGTGGCCATCAAGACACGAGACCTTCAGTTCTTACTGGACAAAGTGAGATAGGCCTTTATTCACTAGGCTGATTACTTATCCTTTCATCATCTCACTCTTTTAATGGTGAACCCTCATGTCCCCTACCTTCTGTCTTGCTTTGATCTTCATCCCACAGTAAACCTCGAGGCACTGGACATGATAACTCTAATGTACTACTGAACCTCTATTCCTGTAATATTGACCTAAGTCACAACGTCCTCTAAGCTCTCTTTTTTTTCCCCTGTCTTTCTTGGTTACATACCAGGGTCTAGTAATAATAATCAAGTTATTGAAGTTACCACAAAAATAAAGTTTTCCTTCCTTTATGCAAATCTTGTCACTACAATGACTGCTGATGCAGAAATTCCAATCTGCTGAGACATTCCCTGCTGACCCAGTAACCCATGTTCTAATCAGCCAAGCTGCACTTTTATTTCAGGCTAGGCTGTTCTCCAGCTATTGCATTCTCAGTGTATAAATTTTAGTTGGCCTGAGAAGTGTCGCTTGGGAGGGCAGTTGGTGTTTTGCCATGAAAACAGGAGTCTGGTGCTCTAAAAGGTTCACGTGCCTAAACAACACTTAGAGATGGGACTCAGTTTTGTAATAATATCCAGCTAAGGAATTCTTTTGTCAACCAGGTAAAGAGTAAAATTAAGTTTTTCTCCCTATTTCAGTACTAATTTTAAGACAGCTTTTAGAAATGTCGGTAAGGCATTTTGTGCATACAAAAATTCCCAATTTCTACAAATTGCAAGTAGGGGCTCAGATATGAGTCTTCCAGTTCTGTTATTCCCCTTCACTATCAGGACAATGAAAAAAAAGAATATTTGTTTCCAACAAACTGAATTATATTTCCATTTTTATGATAATCCTACCATATTTTAAAGGACATTTTGTCTTTTTTTTTTCTTCATTAGAAATAGAAATGAGAAATAAAAAATAGGATTTAGATAAGTCTCTGGGAGGCAGGTCAAATTAGTTTTAACAGAGACTGAAGCACATACATTAAAAGGAGTTTTCTGTATAGCCTAAGAAAGCATAGTGCTAAATAACCTCTCATTAATAACAGTTTTGCATTCAGTGTGGTAAGTCAGTGTTTTTACTGGATAATGAAATTACTGTCCATTTCAGGAGGATAATTTTTATTGATGATTTGTTGATTCTGTATTCTCAAATTTTCAGACTCTAAAAATCACTGGAAAGAATTGACTGCACTCAGATAATTTAAATTAGTATTGCTTCAAGCAAAATCTAGATATTGTACCTAGATTCCTTTCTAGTAGTCAGTGTAATAGGAAATATAGTTTTATGTTTTTAAGTTTTGACCTTGCACTGACAATGAGCCACTGTGTCTTGATCTTAACCAGTACTGCAGCAGATGTGAAAAGTATTTTACCTTAATATTTACAGTGTCAGAGAGCTTGCTTTCTTTCCTTCCTCCCCATAACTGTTTGGTGTTGTTTAAAAGCAAACTCAGATGTTGTGTTGTGCCACCAGTTTCCTGTTTCTTTTGAGAAAAAGTAGAGAACTATCTCAAATCTGCTCAAACCATCTGCTTTTTCTTTTTTTTTTAATGGCAAGTTTTTTTGACAGCATATAAGTGAACTTGTTAAAGTTAAACAGTTGAAGCAGTAAGTAAACAAGAAAACAAAGTAAACAAAAGCAAGGAGTTGTGGGCACGTGAGTTATTTGCTGGTCAGCAAATGTGTATTGCCAGTATGCTGAGAGGAGAAGATGAAGGGGGAGAAGGAATAAGCTGGAGAGTGCTGTTGGGGTTAGTCTCCTGTATATTTAACAACCTTCTTGAAGGGACAAGGGAAAAGTAATCAGAAAACTCCCATTCCTGGAACAAACTGTGAGGGGGAAAAAAAAAAAGTAAACAGCTGAGCCGTTGGCACCCACTTATATGTAATTTAATAATGAAATTATCAGCAGAACAGTTATCTGAAATTTTCAAGGCTGGAACAGTCTGGCTGAAAGGATTGACAAAATCCAAACAGACTTATCCATCAAGGCTTTGGTGTACCTTCCGTTTAATTAGTACACCCTCAAATCCATAGAAATTATTTTTAAACTTTTAAACTTACACTTTCACCAGTTCCAGGGAAACATGTGAGGGTGATTAGAAAGCCAGATATTGCAAAATAAAGAGTGGGCCTTTTTGTCTTGATTTTTGAGTTCCTGTGCTACACTAGGTGAAGCACAGTTGCTTTTCTTTTTTTTTTTTTATTTTCTGGAGTGTAAAGAATAAATAAGGATAAAGAAATGAATCTTTTATTTCAGCTGCCACTTCCCCTTTACTTTCTCTTTTCATCTACTATTTACATCCCAAAGCATCTTCTTAAAAATATTCTACAGCTCAAGATAATCTCCTCAAGCAGAACTAAAAAAATTTAATTTTTTCAGTGGGGAGAAGAATGCTTCACTTTTGTTCCTTGAACACATCTCTGTCATGCCTGTCTTAATGGATTCAGCTAGATGAGCAGAGTTTGGCAACTCTTTTTTTTTTAGCTTTAACACAGTATTTTAAATTATGATTGCTTGTATGATGAAATGAAATTACATATTTGAAAATAAAATCATATATATTTATTTTATTTAAAAATTACTAATATTTTTTTAACAAGTTACTTCACGTGGGTAAATGTCTGTTAAGTTTTCGTTCGTTGCAAGCAGACAAAACAGATGAAATGTTAATTCCCCAAACTCACACTCTAGGAATTTGTGGCATACACATTTGGAAATAACTCCTCTGCTCAGATTTATCCTTTATCTGTACAACTTAGCACTCCTATGAGACAGAGATTTGGAAACTTAGAACTATGTACTCCTGCATGTCACAGAGAGCCTGAATTAAGTGCTGCTTGTCAGCAACTTTATTTGACACAGATGACTCAGACAATTCTTTCTTTGAGGCACAGAGCTGTGCATTTTGAAAGCTCAACCTCATTTTGTCTAAGTAAGGAGAGCAAATATTGGAAAGTATTATTTGGGGAGTAATTTTTAAATACATCCTTGAACTTTTCTGTAAAAACATCTTAGGACTATATTAATAATAACTGGTTTAAATATTAAAAAATTACTTACATACAGCAAAGTAAAATCTCTGGACACTGAATTTCAGGTGTGTCTTTGGATTAAGATGTTAGTTCAAACAACTGCTGAAAACAGTAATATGATTGTGGTGGCTTAACTTATTTATTTATTTATGCTTCCCCGACAGTTTCTTATCTTTCTACTGTAACCGCTGTTCAGATAAGAATATTTGATAGATGTCCAATTATAAAACCATCTTGGAGGGGAGTTCAATTTTCTAGTGTACCTCAGTTCCCTCAAGTTGCTTCCATCCCTTCCAAAACCAGGAAATAATGAAGTTCTCCAGGACTGATGATTATCTGTGGTTTCCCAGCCAAAGGCACTTGAATAAATTAATAAAAGAACCTGATATGTGTCGAAACTACTTAACATAAGTCATATGCCTGTTAAGGTTTATCATCATTAGCTTTTTGGGAGTGGGAAAAGATTATTTAGGTGTTATTAAGTATTGGTATGCTAGGGAGACTACAAATAAGACTTGTGATTGTTGGGGTTTTACAATTAAAATAACCTAAAATTACACAAAGTTGCATATTGCTTTTCTAAAGGCCCGTTTTAACTAGTAATTTACACTGTGTAGGAGTTGAAAGTTTTATAATTTTAAAAACAATGATAGTGATAGGAAGCTGTGGGTGTACACACTCTGCCATCTTCTGGTGTAATTAGTGCCCTGCACCGGTCCTTTCTTCAACATCTGTACTAAGCCTGTGGTGAGCATAAAATCATTAAGGTTGAAAAAGTATTCTAATATTATGTAGTCCAACCATCCCACCATTAACGCAGCCCACCGTGTTCACCACTAAACCATATCCTCAAGTGCCACAGCCATAAGCATTTTGAACATTTCCAGGAATGGTGATTACACTCTTTTCTAAGATAATTTATCATTTGGGTTTGTTTTTTTTCAATAGGAGTGTGATCAAGTTCATATAGATGATGTTTCTTCTGATGATAATGGACAAGACCTAAGGTAAGATACAGCATTTGTTTATTTATTTTTTATTTTATTTTCAAAGATTGAATAATTTGAGCATTTACAGGAATACATTGTATTTATTTTTACTGTATTTTGGGTGTTTGCAGTACCTACAGTTTTGCAACTGATGGCTTCCATGCAGCTGCAAGTAGTGCAAACCTTTGTCTGCCAACAGGTGTAAGAGGAGGGGTTGACTGGATGAGGAAGCTGGCTTTCCGTTACAGAAGAGTAAAAGAGTTGTATAATACTTACAAGAACAACATAGGAGGTGAGTTTAATTGTCAAACTTAGAGTGCTGATCAGTCTAAACTGCATGGTGATGAATTCCCACCAAGTGAATGTGCCTGGGAAGCCACTGAGGGAATGGGAAGTGATGTGACTGGACCATGGGCGGTTGAAAGCTACTGACTGGAGCAGCAGGGCCAGTGTTGTGCTGTTGTGCAGGAGAAGGAGTTGGAAAAACCAAGTAGGCTTTCATTTAGTTCCAACAAAGCCCATCTTCATGCTTTAAACCCAGGTATTCTTACTGTGCTGATTGGTTGAACCACTTACCCTATCTTAAATACACTGCGTCTAGGAAAGATGTTGTATAGTTTCCACAGGTCAAAGTGGTTGTGGATGGACATTTCCATCCTGCATTTTCATGATCTAATTGGTAACATTACACAGTCTTCTAAACTCTGCTGGGTACCTGCTAGTCTGTTTTCACCAGTGGATGCAAGAAAATGTTGGCACTGTCATGCCAAAAGCCTTTTTGTTCACTCTGTAGCTTACACAGTTGTCTTCTCAATAAGTCCAAATCTCATTTGGGTCAAGAGCTTTCCTGTTACTGTTTCATTCATGGACCTGCTCATGTCCTCACCAGCAAGTGTGTAGGTAATTGAGCAGCAGAACCAAACGAATCTGTTCTGGAGAGTCCTGTGATTTGCAGAAACAGCCAGCCCTCTGCTGAGGAGGTGAATATGTCAACTGACACACTCAAAAAGAGACTGTGAGAAGAAGGAATACTTAGAAGTCTTCAATAATTGCCACAGTCATGTATTTTCACTCTTAGTAGTTCAGAGTTTTTACGTGCCACAGAATGAAGCAATAGGACCAAAAGGTGGTAGTAGAAGTCTGACTTTCACTTTCCCTCCCTTGCCCTTTATTGGTGTCATGAATAGTTTTTGTATATTATTAATTCTTAAACCAGTATTAACCAAAGGTTTACTGGGTTTTCTTATATCTCTTAATGCATCTAAGATTCTAAAGCTGCTGCATTTCATAAAACCTTTTACATTGGGAGCTCAAATCCAAGAGCACAACATAAGGAATTGCACTAAGAGGAACAATCATTGCAAAGGCAGAATGCAGATATGTGGTGCTTTGTATTACCAGAAATCCTGCTTCTGAAATATAATTCATCCTTAGTGGGCAAGTTTATTCGTTCATCCTCTACTTCTTAGCCTTTTTAATAACCTACTTATCACATACTTATCTGTTTATTTCAGAATAGCTGCTAGAAGGCAACAGAAGGCTAGACTAATCTATATATTTTTAGATTGCTTCATTTCAGATTTTTGAAGACAGTCATAACCATTTCTTGGGAACATAATGGTGTTAGAAGAGCGATATTAAAGGTCATGAAGCCTTCTTCCTTGTTCTTTCAGGACAAAATATAATTTTAAAATATCTTGGTTCCAAAGAATTCATGTCTCAACGTTCAATAGGCTGGTATTTTTAAATATCTTACAATTTACACACGAAAAGAGATTTTGAGATGCTTTTAAGGACTAACTGAGATACAAGAACATAAGATGTGCAGCTCTTCCAGGACTGTAAATGCTATAACAGGAGCTATCATTAATAACTACAATAGGACATGAAGAGTAAGCCATAAGCAAACAAATGTATTTTCATATGTGTAACCTGAGGTTCACCTATATACAGTCATAAGCAGGGCAGTTTTAAACATATGTAGATATTGCGAAGGCCAGTTTATTCTGAAGTATCTTCTTTTGTGACTGTCTCTGCCTATGACTCCAGTGACATGGATCTTCTTGTCACTGCCTCTGATAATCTGAGAGTAAGATATATGTGAGGAGTTGGTTTAAAAAATATGTATTTCTGAAAGGTATACTTTGAAATGCAGTAAAGCAGCCTGAATAGATGAAAAAATCCAACTAATTGTTAGGATCTAAAATATTCACTGACATTGCTTGATGCAGTGAAGTACAAATAAAACCAAAGATTTACTGATTTTCTCTTTGATAGTTGTTCAAGTTCTAGTGGAATTTAAAATAGAAACAATTACTATAAACCCCAGTACATTCCAGATAATACAGAATTTAATTCTGTTTTTCTTTCTCTTTTACATAAAAGGACTCCTGGGTCCCGCTAAAAGAGATGCGTGGTTGCAATTAAGAGCAGAGATTGAAGCTTTGACAGACTCCTGGCTAACAAATGCACTTAAATCATTATCAATTATCAGCACAAGGTATGTATCTGAGTCTACTCTAAAAAAAGGTTTTAGTTTTGGATATGTAATGGCTATTTTTTACATTTTAGCTTACAGTAAATGAGTGCCTTTAAAGAACAGAACAGCTCTACTCTGACTTTTGAACAGGACATGAGAAAAGTGGAAAATTTTTTCATTTTAGGTTATTCCATCATTTACTAAAGATAGTACGAAGTGTCTTCTAAAATGCGTGTACATTGAAGTGTGTTGTAGAATTCTGAGCCAGTCTTTAATTTATTATCTTGTGGACAGCATTCTCTGAATTCCACATATCTCTGCTCTGTCCTTCAATGTTTGTGCTTATTCACAGTGTTACCTAAACACTGTATAAATACCAGAACACAAAAACATTTTCCTTCTGTCCTTCCAAGCAAATCAGTATTTACTAGCATATACCTTAAGTTTTCAGAAGAGCAAAAATCTCTTTTAACTGAATTAAAAGTCTGGGTTCCAAGTAATGAAGCATAAAATGTACTGGTCTGTGAAACAATGAAAGTATGAACACTGCTGCTGCCTAATCAGCCATGCAATACGTATCTTACCAGAAATCCTAAAAAATCCTGGGTTTAAACCATAAAAGAGAACAACATTAAGTCATCTTGCCTTCTGAACGTGTCTGGGAGAAGACTTAGCATCAAATGTAAATATAAACTTGGAAAGACATGAAAACCTTTTTTTCTACGTAACAACTTTTGCAATATGTTTATCTCTTAATTGTTATTTATTTAACAGTGTCCTAAGCACGTCAGGAGAAAATTAAAAAAATTGTGATTGTGTAACCTGTGTTTAGCTCTGCATTCATCTCCAAATTGTTAGTCTTTAAGAAGACTTTTGGTAACGGCGGCCAGTTGAGCATGGGTAGAAGAGTCTGGAAAACTGTTACCAGTTACTCAGAATTGTTAAATAATAATCTTTTCTCTTGTCTTCAAAGAACTGCACAACTATAAATTTTCCGAAGATACTTGTGAGTCAGCTAAACATTACTTACATTATTGACAGGAAATTGAGATACCTTAAGTCTGAAATAGTAGCCTAAGAACTTGCTTGGAATTTGTGGAAATGCCAGAAGGAAAAATCACAACTGTTTGCTCTCAACATCATGTTCACGCTGTAGTCACACTCATGTTCCAGCCTGCCAGCGCCTAAAGTAGCCTGGCTCTGAGTTTTCTGTTGCACAGCTGCTAGTACAACTTCTCCATTCAAGTTTCCATCCTTGCCATTTGATGCTAGCTTATTGACATGATTATCTTCCCTCTTAGAAATATTCCTACTCTTGAAACATGAAGGAAGTAATGTTATTATGGAGAAATGTGTATTGGCTGTTTATTTCCCTTAAAGAGGAACAAAAAATGTTTTTGCATTCACTTAATTCATTTATATTGCTGATAGCTACTGCCAATTAATTGCCAGCCTGAAAATTATGCTTTCAAAGCATTGAAATGCCTCTTTTTGGAGGTAGTTGGTCGTCTTAAATGTCTGTGTTTTAGTGGACCCATCTTCAAGGACTGGTTTTCTATAACCACTGTGGAATACTTCCTACCAAAATCAGGCCCTGGATATTTTTTAGAGGATTTTTCCCAAAGTTTTATGTGCAGTTTTCTGTAAGGGATGGTGCTGAGCAGCACTACTGTGTGAGTGAAAGTAAATGTTGAGGAAACCTGGATATGCTCTTCACAGCTAGTTCATTTCATCAACATTTGTATACTGTTTCTAAACTATTTAAACTTAAACCATTTCTCTCATTTTAGGAGTAATTGTGTAAACGTGTTGGTAACAACGACCCAGCTTATCCCAGCACTTGCAAAAGTTCTGCTATACAGTTTAGGAGGAGCTTTCCCTATTGAAAATATTTACAGTGCAACCAAAATAGGTAAGAAAATTATTCTTTCATCCATTCTTACTCCACTGCATTACCAATATTTTTTTCTGCCAGAAATGGATGGATTCCAAAACACTACCTTGACACTTAGCAGTTTCAGTTATAAGATTTAGACATTTCATATATTCAGATATCTTTATGTCAAAGAATTCCAAAGTCACCTTATTTTCAATGATGCCTGAAGGAATAAAGATACTGATTAAAAACTTCAGAAATTCCTCAGGATGGTGGAGAAAACAAAAAATGTGCAGAAAACCATGAAGAAAAGTGTCTTGTGAATTCAAACCTGAGCAGAACTTTTGTTATAATAACCTCTGCTCTGACATTCAGCTCTATGTAAGTAAAGCCACAGGTCCACAGACTTTCTCCCGAGGCATAATACGTCAGAGATGGTGATGAAAACTGTTACTAACAGAAGCTGCATTGGTGGATGCCAAAAGGGGACTTGCCTATTCTGTTCATAACTGTGTGCCTTTTGTGTATTATGGTTTGGAAATGTATGGTTTCATTCACTAACCTATTAATTTTTGCAGAGTTGCTAATTCTTTTATTTTAGTGGCTTTCCTGTAACAATTAAGAAATTTAGTTTTACCTGAACGAGCTTAGTGTCATTTAGGGAATTCATTGCTTCTTACCCAATTTGACTCTAAATCCCAAGGCTGGGAACTTTTCAAAAGTAGTAGTAGCAATGTCTTACCACTGCAAAAATCCTTTGTAAGGCTTCACTATAACTCACTTGATAGCTTGAATAAATAGTGCCTTGTTTTTCAGGCAAAGAGAGCTGTTTTGAGCGTATAGTGTCCAGATTTGGCACTAACATAACTTATGTTGTGATTGGAGATGGCCGAGATGAGGAACATGCAGCTAATCAGGTAACTTCACTCTGAACTCTTATCTCATTTATCTTCCAGGAAAAGAAAGTTGCTTTGAACGAATAATGCAAAGGTTTGGCAGAAAAGTAGTATATGTTGTAATTGGGGATGGTGTAGAAGAAGAACAGGCAGCAAAAAAGGTAACCTGTCTTCTGAAATGTTGGTGTGATACATAGCTACTAATGCAAGCCTTTCTGTTTGCATTTCTGTCAGTGTTGCACAAAATGACAAATAATTTCAGTCCACAGGCGCAAGGCAGCAAGAGCATGATGAGATCAAAACTTAGAGTGAAATGAACCATTTGGATTCTAGCATTTGCTTCCCTTGGCTTTGGAAAGAAAAGAAAACCCCACAAAGTTGTTTTTAAAATAAATGAAAAAATATTGCAGCAAAAATGTCTAACTAGCTTCAGGCAAATCAAAAGATAAGCAGAAGAGATAGAAAGGGCTATAACACGATGGTTGGGTGGTGTTTTTCTTTAAATATTAAAATCAGGGATGTTTCAAGAGAAGCATTACAGAGAATGTGGAAAAACATGTAGGGCTGTGCAAATTTTTTGCTAACATAGATGAAGATCAATAATTTACTGCAGCAAATATGATAAACATATAATTTGCTTCAAGAGAGACATATCTGCTAAAGGAAAAAGAACACAACACAGAGATTGTGTACCAAATCTGTGGTTCTCAAAAAAGAGCTGTTTCCTTAGAAATACAAAATTTTCTTATTATGATAATTCAAGTCCAATTTCAGCAGAAAAATTTTCAGTGTTCAGAAATAGATAAAATTAGTAATTTGTGCCATAACCCCTAGTATAACCCCTGGAAGTGTGCAGAAACTGTAATTTTTGCCTGACAATGTCTGTACAGGACAAGTGATGTAAATATCCTTGAGCTAGGAGTAGCAAAAAAAAGTACCCTCATAGTTTTGTAGCTGGAATGGAAAGAAAATTAAAATAACCAAAATGCTCATTCCAAATGGTTCCTTAATATAGGTACAGTATTGGTGATGGGTCTTTTATAATTTGTGCTAAACAATGGTGGTTTGATTGTGTGTTTTCTGGTTTGGCATGCTTTTTTTCTTAATGTTGACTATATTGCATGGATAGGTGCAGAATTCAGAGAGATGGATGAATTTGGCACATTACAAATAGATCTGAACTCAACATGGAAGTATTGGTTTTTTTAATACGCTGATGGATTATTGAAGGAGAATAGTGCATATACTTGCACCTCTCAGATACTGATGCTTTCTCCAATACAAATTATCTTTTCTTAAATCAGAAGTGTTATTTTCTTATCCAAAGAAATTTCTTTTTCCCCTAGATGGAGAAAAAAATGTAATTCAACGCTGTTTCAAAGTGTTGAGTGAGAAGCCTTTTTTAATGGAAGTCTTATAGCCCTTTAAATGATCATTCAGTATTTTGCAGTCAAATAAGTGGAGCAGAAAGGCATTTCCTATTAATGCTCCTTTGCATGCTAACATTAAGCAAGTAGCCCTTAATAAGTGACAGAAAGAAACTATTAAGAAAGACTATCTAATTATTTTAACTTCAGTTGAGCTATTAAGCTCAGATCTATTTTGGTCTGATTTTTGTCAGTACTTTAATAGCAAAAATCAATCCAGAAACAGTGTAATAAAATACATAGTGGTAATCTAACTAGCCTCATCTGTCATATACTGCCCTGTTTCACAGTGTTCATCTTTCCTGACCTTTTCCCTCCTCTAACAAACACAGCACAACATGCCTTTCTGGAGGATATCCAGTCATTCGGACCTCTTGGCTCTCCATCAAGCACTGGAACTAGAGTATTTGTAACTGTGTTCTAAAGTTGGCGATCCTTTTTTATATATATATATTTCAAGTACACTGAATTTTTATGTGTGATTCAATGCCTCTGGCTTTACACATATGAATTGTCTTAAGAAGGGAAGAAATATTTGGAATTAAAAATTCCAAATTGAAGAATTCAGATTGCTGAATGAAGTTAAAACATTAGTGCTACGTAAGGAAGCTCTATGGTCTTATATATGCAACGTTTTTAAAGGAATTAAAACTGTGGAGGTTGCTGGTACACACCAAGTGAGCCCTGACAGGAGTGAACAAAGGACTCAAACTGGCAAAGCACCAAAATGCGTTTTCCAGCCAACAAGGTGGTGTTCAACAACATTCCTCAAAATGGGATATATTCTCAGCACTGAGGTTTGAACCAGACTTTAGCCTACCTAACCCAGAAAATCTGAATTGGAATGCACTCAGACTGTATAATGACAATCCTGTCTAGACCTGTAATTTGTGTAAATTATTGATGAAAATAATTTACTGTGACTTTATTAGCAGCTGATTTTGGAAGTGGATGCAATTTTCTTTCTTTTGGGGGGGCAGGGGAGGGAAAGGGTTATATAATATTGTCTCTTTTATAAGTTTGGCAAACAGAATGTCATAATGATGTGTTGTGCCTTAAAGAGAAGATTGTGTTTGTGTGTTATAATGTAATTTTGGTTAAAAACTCTGTAGATAAGCAAAGAAAAACCTTTGTGGTAATTTTTGACATGACCAAATTTGAAATTCAAAGAAATCAAAGGGCAGGGCTGCACCAAAGCATTCAAGTATTTGTTGCAGTAAGAAAAAAATAATAAAGCAAAGTTTGTGTTTTTATTTGGATTCTGAATAATTCCACTGATGGATTGAGAAAAGTTAAGAGTACATTGGGAGGTTGATATTGGGGACCGCTACATTGAAAGGTTAAAAATAGTGTTTAACACCTTCGGCATCATTTCTTGATTCTCCAACAAGAGAACTAAGAGCCATATTCATTAATTACCGAGTCCACTGAAAGCCATACAGTGAGTGCATCTGCTGTGTACAGAAGAACAAAGTTCCACCCAGCAGACAAAGCGTTCAGGTGACATTACTGGAAGGTGAAAATGTGGAGTTAAGCCCAGATGGGGAATAAAACACAATTCCATTAGGAATGAAAAATTACTAAAGATACTCAAGTCAGTCAGACATGCAACTGATGCTCCATTTAGCATATTCAGGATCAACACAAGCTGCTGAAATTACTGACATAATGACATTGGCCATTTCAGGAGCATTGGTAAATAAAGTAGCATTTTGGTAGTTTTTCAATTGTGTTCCACATTTCCATGTATTTTGTTTTAGGTCAGCATGATTTTCCTCACCCATTTTTGATTGCGCAAAATACTACACAGGGACAACCCTAAAATTTTTTTGAACCAGAAATTTCAATAGTATGTCAGGCATCTGAGGAGAGGATAAGGAGATAATTTTTATCAAGAAAGATTGAGAAATATATCACCTTAACTTTCATAATTTCTGTTAAAAGTTACAGTCCATACAGTGATGATTACCTTGTGAGTTTGAACATGCTACCTTTCATCTTTGGAAAATGAGCAAGATCCATATTGTACACAGGGTCCTTAGTGCTCTATATGCAGCTTGAACACTCTGAAACAACAGCAAGTGGTTTGTCTCTCGTTGCAGAAAATGGAAACTAATTTTTTCGATTTTTAACACTGTATGTGGAGACACCTGATGTTGTCTGTGCACTGAACTGCATGAAGAGGTGCATGCAAGAGAAGGTATTAAATGCAAACTCCAGGATGCCTGCACAAGCACAGGCACTGAGTAGTTGGCACTGAGGTGAAAATCTTCCCTCTCTCTGCTATGAAGCCAACATATGCCATAATTACCAGGTAGTAACTTCGCTGATTTAAATTCTGTTGAGGTTACATGAAAGTTAGTTGGTTGGTGAAAGCCTGGAGCCACTAAAAGTACAAGGCAAAACTCCTCTATAAATTCATAAAAATGGGATTTCTTCTCTGTTTTGGAGTTGAATATGCAAGTCACCACACAACAAACTAACAATAATTTGTTATCACTCCACAGTTTAAAGCCATCACATGAGACTTGCCACATATGAAAACACTATAGACTAGCTATTTGGGTGATAGATATATGTGTCCAAGAAAAGTAAAAATTATGCATACCTTCTTTATATTTTCAGTACCTGTCTAGTCAGATTTGTCCTGGAAGTACCTTTTTCATAAAAAGCTGTAGTAGCAGCATTTTGTAGTTTTTCAGATGGGAAAAAGTGTTTCTACTGGAATAAGAAAAAACTTTGAAGCCTTTCTCAAGTTCCAGCTTTGCATAAAAATCTCAATGTAAAAGCATGATAAGCAAAAAAATTGGTATGGTGAATTAGCTTTTCTTTTTCTTTTTCTTTTTCTTTTTTTTTTTTTTTTTTGAGAAGTCATAGTGTTCTTTAAATGCATGAAGCAATATTATTTCCAAGTTACTTGTTCAGTGTTCTTTTCCTAATCAGATGTAAGAACAAAAAGTGGCCCAGCAACAACCAGTGGTTCTTACAAAAGGTTTGCAGTGCCTTCATTGGAGTTGTGCTTAGCTTTCTGTGGTGGATGCAGCTCAATTTGTATACTGGACTTCTAAAGAGGAGATGTAGGCAAAAGGAGGGAAGTTTTACAGAGAATGATAAAGTTCTGTGTGCTACCATAGCAGAAGTTAATTGTAAAACTAAGTAATTTGCAAAAACGTGAATCCAAAGACAATTCAAGGATTTAGCTCGAAAGCCTTCGCAACACAAAATTTCAGAGCATGAATACTCTCTTGCTAAGCAAAAATTGCTATATACCTTTAAATAAAAGTGTGTAGTACTTTCCTTGTAGGGAGAAATTAGTCTGATATATTTTCCTGCATGAACAATACAGAGCAGAAAATAACCAAGGCAGAGACATCAGGCTGTTCCAGATAGGCCTAAGAAGATTAAACTGAAGGTTGGTCAGTTTGACACTGGGTGCATTTTAATTCAAAAGCATATTAATCAGAAACTACCTTCCCTTCAGCCTCTCCTCAACAACCAAGATTGAGCACAAGGTCATGTTTGCAAGCATTTCTGGCAAATGAAGTATAGAATAGAATGCCTTTTGCTGATACTTTAGCAGTTCTCAGTACAGAACATGGAACGTTCGTTAGGCATTTGAGTACTCAGCTTGCAGAATACAAATATTGGGTGATTGCAGTCACAAGCTGGTATCTTAAGTAGATATAAATCTGTGCAGTTCAGTAAAAGAGAACAGAAAAAAATTAAAGATAGCCTTATTTTTAGATGCCTGTGGAGATTGTGCACAAAGATCTAGGTGGCAGCTAGCTCCCAGATCTGTTTTCATTAGAATCCAGTGTGAGCAGCAGCGTTTGCATCTGAAGCAGGTGTGGAGTGTGTTCTGGCGCAAACATTGACAAGGGAGATGAGGCCAAATCAAAGTCCTGCATACAAGCACACTTCATCTTGGGGTGGATGAGATCCTGAATTCCATCAGAACTGAAGAGTTTATGGAGAGTAAAGACTTGACCCATTACAGGGAGACGAGGTTTTAGCTGTGAGGTTGTATCCAGATCCAGGGTTTCAGTTCAAAAGTCATCTCTGCTTTAAAGGATTGACAGCAGGCATATGCTGTAAATGAATATGGTATTTAGTATCTCTGAAGAGAAGCTGAAGTGACAGAAGCCAAAATCCCAGCAATAGCAGCATTATGAAGATTTGAAGCCAAGGGTCTCTGTCATGTATTAGCAGATTATAGTTTATTAGGGCCTACCTAATTTAAGAAAATGTAAATTAAAATTAAAAGCTTGTAAAATTATGTACATCTTTACTATTTCTCAATAAATACACTTGGAAATGTCTTTTTTTCTGCACTATATGGTGTTGTAAGCTGTTTGGTTTGTGGTTGAAACTCTCCATACACAATGTCTCTTACAGGACCTGACTGTGCCCTTGGACTCTCATGTCCATGCTCAGACTCTTATGCCCATGTCCACGCTGCCCTTGTGGTTCATGCCTGGAGCAACCCTGAGCCTGTGCATGTGGTCTGGTACAGACTGGCTCACGTGCAGACTGTTTGCAGGGTGCAGCCTTAGAGAGAATGCCCCCCTGCTCTGCACTGAGGCTTCCTCCCCAAGAACATTAGGTGCCTTGCTCCAGATGCCTGAGTGACAACTAGCACCTTTGTTGCAGTGTCCTTCAGATAAAATACAGAACAACCCCAAGTGGGATGGCAGGACTGTCAGCACATTGTGATCTTGGAACATCATAGCAAGTGGCAGAGCCTTGGTAACCACAGTGCTTCACCCACAAGAAGCACCTTGTAAGAGTAGGTTTTTTCCCAAGGGGTTAGGTTAAAATGTATCTGCTTTCTCCTCAGTTTTAGTAACAAAAAGGAAGATATATCAAAAATAGAGTGGACAAAATATAAAAAAGCCCTATCTACTGAGCAGACAGACTCATCCACAGAGCAAACAGTACCATTTCAGAAGACTGAGATAAAAGGGAGACAGAATATGGTTTTCCTCTGTGTCAAAACTGGTTGATTTCAGAACTTTTCCCTTTTCACATGAGGATAAAAATGAGATACTGAGGGCTTTAATTCAAAAGGTTTGTCTGGGTGAAAGCACAGCATTACCTTCGTTTCTCATTGCTGAGAAACTCAGTGCTCTAAATGGCCATCAGTGTGTCCTGCACATGATGTTCACAGTGATGAACTAAAGTAAAAATGTTATACCGAGGGCATTTATGTGTGGACAAATAACTCTTCCTCATTTGTGTGCAAAAATACTTCTTCCTCATTATCCATTACCAGCAAAAAATCCTCAAGGGAAACCAAGCAGAAATCCAAAATAGAGTTGTTTGTCAGTTATTATCTCTAAGAGATGCATGTTTAGAGTTGACTTGTTTGATTCATTTTCCTTTTTCCAAACAAATAGTGGATTCACAACCATTTTGCATGTTTATAAATTTGGGGGGATTGTTTCAGTTGCCAAAAGCCCAGGTAGTAGGACGAATGCTGCCAAAGTCAAAACATCTGAATAGTTTGTTTTCCCATGTTAATTTCTCTACAAATGTCAGGGCTTGATTTTCTAAGAACTGAATATGTGACTTGAAACCGCTAATAAAAAAAAACAATGATTTTTTTTTCTTTTTTTTCTGGTTGGGAAATAAAAGGAGAAAGCACCAGAAAGCTTCACAAATTGATTTTTTTAAGTGGACAAGCAAAGGAACTCTTTTGTTGCACAAAGCACCGTTTCTCAGATTTTCTGGATAATTTAGGCATCAAACATCCATCTAAACCCGGGTTACTGGAAATTCACGTACAACTTCAATAAACAAAGCAAGAAAGCCAGGAAACATGAAGGACAGGATTTAAATGAGCTATATGATTTAAAGAAGTTAGGCTTGGAATGGAGCTTAAATAGACTTACTTAACTTTTTTTGCCTTTTTCACAGTGTCTTGACAGAATGGAGTGCTACAGAGAGGCAAATGGAAAGTGATTCATGTTTCTTACATTACTACACAACCTACTGTGCCCTTCACCAGGAAGCACACACTTTTTCTACATAAAAAAAAAAAAAAAAACAAAGTAACTGGAGCTATTTGGAAAACACTAGAAATTTGCCAGTGTTGACTCACTGAAACCAAAATATGTTTTGGGAGTGCACACAACATCGTCAATGAACAGAACATTTCTAGTCCTGTTTAGAGAAAGAGTGAATCAGGGGCCCACCAGATTAACCAGAAAAAAAGCCATTGCAGGAATCCGGTGACTATGGCTCTCAGCTGGCATATCAAGCCCCTCTTCTTTGCTTTCAGCCTGTCTGGATTAGGATCTTAGTTTTTTAGCTTTCTGATTCAAAATGGTCCTCGTTTGATCCAATGGTGAAGAGGAATGTTTCTGAAATCAGGGAAAAAAAAAAAAAAAAAAAAGGTAAAGATCAAAGGGAAGAAGAAATAAGAAAAATAATATGCCTTCTTACCCAGTATGCCCACTGTGAAAGGTTGTGGAAAAAGAAATCTTCCTGGAAATGATTTAGCAAGTGAGCAGCTGTGGTTAGTTGGTCAGTTGTTTGCAGCAGAAGGAGGGGCAGACATGAAATGGGAGAAAACCAGCAAACAGATTCGCTGGACTGTGTGTGCAGCATCTCTTCTGTTTTACAGCACAGCCTCACTTGTGGTTTTTTGTGATGTGAACTCCTACTCCATATAGCTACCCCTTGTCCCACTATCTCTGGTCCGTGAGGTTTTGCAGACTGATCTCTGTCTCTGGATTCGTGAACATCCTGGATAGCAAACTCCTAGCATTTAGCAGTAGGACTTCTTTGCAGGGTTTTTTTGGGGTGGTGTTGGGGTAGCCTTGGCTGGCAGCCAGACTCCTACCCAGCTGCTCTCAATCCTCTCCTCAGAGGAACGGAGGAAAGAGGAAGCACAGCAGTGAGAAAGCTTGTGGGTGGGGATTAAGACAGGTAGATTCCTTACCAATTACTGTCACAAAGGAAACAGACTGCACCTGGAGAAAATTAATTTATTGCCAATTAAAATAAATATTTAATCACTGAATTGGGTAGTGGGAAACAAAAAGGGCACCTTTCCTCCTCCCATTTCTATGTCCAGCTTCACTCCTTCACTGCAAACTCCTCAATGTTTCCCAAGCAGCACAGACAGGATGAGGGAAGATAGTGGCTACAGTCAGTAAGTACTCAGTTCTTGTCTATATTAGGGAAGTCTGTGTGCCATGGAAGGCCTCTGTTTGTGTCTCACCAGCCTATCCCATGAGCAGCCTATAATGTCACCTTTATAAGGATGAATCAGCTTCAAATGCTACCTTTCTCACTTGAAAAGCTTTTACTTTGATTTGTTTTTTTTCATACAAGCCATGATTGGAGCATGTGTTACCTTCTGCAGCTCATGCAAACCAGAAACCCTTACTTGACATCTGTGCCTCATGACCACTCAAAAGCAAAACAAAGCAAGGAGGGGGAAAAATGGGGGAGGTGCAGAATGGAGCCAAGTGTGGGGGGAGCTGCTCCAGTCAAACAGCATATGAACATATGAACACTGATTTATAAAATGCAATCCTATTCTCAGTAATTGCCACAGACCACGGACATGTGGCAGTTGATGGAGGTAAGACAGTTAGCAAAACCCGACTTATCCTGTTACTCACTTGGAGCAAAAATGAGTAATTTATTGCAAGCTCTAAATAGTCTTGATGAGGAACAGTCATACTCATAATGGAACTGCCTGGTGGCCAAAAGAGATTCACTGTAGCCACCTGACCCCCATGGCCAGTTGAAAGGGGAAAGAGCCAAATCGCTTCTCAAAGTGGGCACTCGCCCCCCTCATCTGGCCCCTCACCTTGACTGCCACCATCCTAGTGGGAAGAGGGCAGTGACCCCAGCAACATCACCTCACGGTTTAGTTCCAAGGGAGCAAGGGGTGCAGCACCCAGTGCTTTACTGATTCTCTCTGAGTTGTCTTTTACATCCTCCTTAAACTAAGTTCATTCTCAGTGGAACAGGTATTCTAGCTGGGAGGAATCTATTTACAGAGTAAAAGAAACAGTACCTAGTTTGGGCCCTCAAGAAATGAAGAACTGCTGAGCCCAAAAGGTATCCAAGGAATTGCTAATATTTTTATTTTTTCGTCTTATCTAAATGCTCTCTGTGAGTTTTCTTCTGTGGTTAAACTTCAGTTCCTTAAAAGAAATTTACTTAAAATTGAAAGGCTGACTCAACCTTCACTCTAATAACCAGGAAAACACAACAGTAAAATGAAACAACAAATCATTCCTCTGACAGTAATGAGGCACTTGCTTAGACGTTTATCTGTCCTTTTAAAGGGCGGTAATGTTATGGTTGAAAAGCCTTGGGTTTAAGCTTCAAGTCTGGGAAGAAATTTCCAGTCCCGGGCCAAAATCGCAGATGGTAACATTGCGCATAATTAATGCATTCATTTTCATTCTTAAAAACTAGTAAATGCAGCTTGTTTGCATTTCCTCCTGAAAGCTAAATTTATTAGCTACTAAATGTAGAGACTATGCCAAGTGTTTCAAGGAGATTATATCCTGTCTTTCCCCCATTTTCTAACAGTTTTCCACTAATATCACCTGGGTGGCTCTTCCCTTTTTATAAGAAACTTCAACATGGGCAACAGCTTTCTGCTGTCCTTTTTGTTCCTTAGTATGTTTTCACGATAAAGGTTTCTTTCCTTCGCTTCCATCTCAAAAGCAGCAAGGCTGCCACTTGTTCGCTGAAAATGACTTTAAATTCATCAACTCTCCCAGGTCTAATAAAGTGACATGTTTACAATGTTAAAGGAAATCAGGTGTTTAAATAGTAAATGGAAAAAAAACATATTTATGTGGTGTTATAATAATACCATTTGCCTGGCCTTTCTCAGCCCATTCATCACACAGAAGTCTCTACACAAGGTGCTATGGAGTCTTTGTGCTTCAATGCCATGCAATAATAAGTCCAAATTCACCATAAATCATGTATTGCAGCGCCCTCCCTCTTTGCTGTTGGCAACCGCTGCATGGGCACATGTAGGGAAAGAGTCGTTCCCCAGGCACATGGCCGTGAGGATGGAGCAAAGAAAACACTGGAAAGTGGGTACTGCTATTACAGCTCACTTCTGCTTTTCAGGTAAGTTCCATTCATGCTACTTGTCCCACTACAGAAGTGCTGCTTGTCCCACTGCAAAACACTGGAAGCAGAAAATCTGGACTCTTGCTGTGCTCCTGGATGAACTCTTCATTTTGAAGGCCAGTCTCCAGTGCTGCCACTGAAATGGGGACAGTGCGTACAGGTGGACGGGTCATGTTTTTTCTGGCATTCAGCCATGCCGTCCTCAGCTCCATGTGCACTGCT